TTACTATGCAAAGTCAGTCTACTCATCATTCACGTTTGAGACATCTGCCATTTCTTGTACTGAAAATGAAACGTTCCAAAGGTGATCACACCACATAAAGAAGATGCTACCTTCCCATCCTGGACATATTGGATTTTGTATTGTCATGTAGGCATAGAATTTTTTTTGTCTGTCTTATATGTCTGTAGTTTTTAATGTGTAACATGCCTTAATTGCAAAGGTGAAAAATGACATAACTGTATTCCACTCTTAAAATAAAAATGGAAAACTGTCTTCCTCATCTCCTAGTTTTTACTAGATTGCCCAATTATTTCTCTACCCAGCTTCCTGAAGCACAGTTCTGACCATGTCAAATACATGCTCAGTAAACTCCAGTGGCTCCCTATTATCTCTAGGATGAAAAACCAAAGTCCTGTTTAGCATTGGCAGAGCTCTTCACGGTCTGTGGCCAGCCTTTCTTGCTGGTGTTATTGTAGAGGGTCCTTTTCACACATGCCGGCATCCAGCCCAGCTGGCCTTGCTGTGCATCACACGTGACACACCAACCTCCGTCCCTTTGTACAGACTGTGCCCCCGTGCCTGGAATGGGTTCCTTCCTCACGTCTACCTCTTGGAATCCCTCATTCCCTTCACAGCTCTTCTCAAATACCACCTGCTACGACAAGGCCTTTCCTGCTCCCCCCACCTCAAGGCTCCTCCCCGCGCCAGATGACTTCGTGTCACGGCATATACGTGTACATGCCTTCTTTGAGTGTCAGTTCCTTGAGGGCAGAGACTGGTGCATTTTGGTCTTTGTATTTCCAGTACCTAGTATGGTGTCTGGCAAGCGGTAGGTGCTTTATACATGCTTGTAACAGTGTCTTGCCTTATATATATAGGTGTATTGCAATGGGTCCTGGCTCCATTACACAGCAATTTACTTTAAAAGGAGAATTATCTTATCGAAGTTATGATAGTAAACAATAATTTCTTAAATAAAATTGTGAAATTGTAAATGCCTGAGAACTAGTTCTATTTGAGGAACTAAATGAGCTTTCAGTCAAGATTCCATTTACATACTTAATATTTCACTTTACCCAAAAGGAAGAAAGCAGGTACTTCAAATAAATATTCTCAAAGCCCTTTTTAATGGTAGGATCAGAGGAGAGATGTTTACCCTGAATGACCTCTTATGTTGTCTAATTTAACTTTGACCTCAGAAAAATTTTGTAATTCTTCTGTCATGAGTTTGTCTACAAGTGCATATAGCCTATATACATTTTTAAAGAAAAAATTACTCAGTGTTATAAAACATTCTTCTTATTTGTGGTAGTGGTGGTGGCAGCAGCTAGGTGGTACAGTGGATAGAGCACTGGGCCTGGAATCAGGAAGACCTGAGTTCAAATATGGCCTCAGACATTTACTAGCTGTGTGACCCTAGGCAAGTCACTTGATCCTGTTTGCCTTAGTTTCCTCATCTCTAAAATGATGTGGAGAAGGAAATGGCAAACTGCCCCAGTATCTTTGCCAAGAAAACCCCAAATGGGGTCACAAAGAGTCAAGACATGACTGAAACGACTCAACCATGACAACATGGCCAGACATGGCATTTTGGATGACAGGATACAAAAACATCCACTGGGCTGAAACTATGAAGAATAAAATTTAATAAAGACAAATGCATTAAGATAGTAAAAATCCAAATTCACCAGCACCAAACAGAAGAAGCTTGACTGAATGGCAATTTATCTGAACACATTGTGGGCTTTAGTCATCTGCACAACATGAAAAGCTGGTGCTATCAAAGGGATAACTGATGTATGGGACAACAGAAATCATAGCATCTCTGTACTTTTCGCTGATCAAACCACGTCTGGAGTGTCATTTCAGTTCCAGGTACCACATTTTGGGAATGGTATTGGTTAAGTAGAAGAGCATCCAGGACAACTAGAATGATCAACCTTGAGATCATGGAGGTTCAAGGGAAGGTCCCAGGCATGTCCAGCCTGGAGAAGAAAGGACATAATGGGGATGTCAGAGGTCAGAACTAGGAGCAAGGGTGAATGTTGCAGAAAGGCAAAAAGAAACGTCAAACATCAGGAAAAAAATAGCAATTCATACTATCCCAAAGTGAAATGGGAAATCTCACAAGGTAGCAACTTCACCCTTCCTGGGGACAGAGGGATGTCTTCCAGCAAAGACTGACTGGTTTTAGAGGCTTCTTGTTCAGGTGCATATGGAGCTAGGAGGCAGTATACCTGGCTCTGGAGACAGAGGACCTGGGTTCAAGTCATACTGCTTTCTGTCAGCGTGACCACAAGCAAGTTTAACTAAACATCCCTGGGCCACTTTCTTCATCTGTTAAATTACGGTGCTCCCGAGCTATGATCCTAGGTATACATTCCCAAATAGACAAATGAAAAAAAAAATTTTAATTGTTCAAAATCACTAAAAATCAGGAAAATGAACTCTGAGGTATCACCTTACATTCACCTGGAAGGAAAACTTCCAGGCTGGAAGGGCTCTCAGAAGACAGGCATGCTAGTTCCCCACTGGAGCTGTGAGCTGGTCCTTCCAATTCTGGGAAACAACTGGCACTTGTGGGAAAAATAACCAAATCATTTGATACCTTGTGCTCCATTCGGGAAGTCCATATTTACGTTTATAAAAGGAGCCATGGGTACCAAAATATTCATAGCAGCACAATGGTAATACGAAAATGATAGGAATAAACAGTACCTGCCAATCTCGGAGACATCACCTGTTTTCAAGAGGGAGGTACTGTGGTGGTGTGGTGTATGTGGGAGGATGGGGAGGGATTTTTTGGGACGTGACTAATTTTGTCAAAACACAAAGTACCAGGGCAGCTAGGTGGCACAGTGGATAGAGCACCGGCCTTGGAGCCAAGAGGACCTGAGTTCAAATCTGGCCTTAGACATTTGACACTTACCAGCTATTGTGACCCTGGGGAAGTCACTTAACCCCAATTGCTTTGCCAGAAAACAAAAAAACCAAAAAAAACCCCTAAAGTTCTCAGGCTTTTCTAGAGAACTGTAACTCAGAGTCCTTTAGCGTTGGTATAAATTTTATAGTGCCTACAATATATACCCTTTCTGAAATTGAAGGAAAACTTGAATGTAAGAAAACCATTGAATTAATAAAACTAGGGGTTGCTTTTATGAAAAAAATAAACTACTGGTTAATATTATTTTAAAAACAGAGAATAAACCAAGTCACTAGTATCAAAAAAGAAAAGAGTGAATATACCACTAATGAAGATGAAACCAAAGCAATTAGAAGGAGTTAGTCTGCCCAATTAATACATGTAACAATTTAAGTGAAATGGAAGAATACTTAACAAAAATATGAGCTGCCTGGATTAACATAGGAGGAAACAGAATATCTAAATAAACCTACTTTAGGAAAAGAAATTGAATTGGCCTAAGAAAAAAGCATCAGGACTAGATGGATTTACAAGTGAATTCAACAAAGCAATTAAAAATCAACTAATTCCAATTATTCAATAAATTATTTGGAATAATAAGCAAAAGAATCCTACCAAACTCCTTTTATAAGAAAAATATGGTACTGATATATAAACCAGGAAAAGCAAAAACAGAAAATTATAGACCAATTTCATTAATGAATGTGGATGCAAAAATCTTAAATAAAATATTAGCTAGGAGACTGCAACAATATATCACAAAGATAATACATTGTGAATAAGTGGGATTTATACCAGAAACTCAGGGATGATTTAACATAAGGAAAACTATTAACATAATTGATTCTATCAATACCAAAAGTACCAAAAATCATATGATTATACCAATAAATACAAAAAAAAGCTTTTGACAAAATACAACATTCATTCCTAATAAAAATACTTGAAAGGATAGATACAAATAAACCCAATGTAGCCAAGATTAGAAGGAAAGCAGAAGATTGGGGGAATATTTTATAGACAATTACTCAGATAAAGGTCTCATAACTCAAATATATAGAGAACACTGTCACATTTATAAGAATGAGTCATCCCCCAGTTGATAAATGATTAACTGATATGAACAGGCAGTTTTTGGAAGAAATCAGAGCTATGATATATCATATGAAAAAATACTCTAAATGATTATTGACTAGAGAAATGCTAATTAAAACAACTTTGAGGTATCTCACAACTATCAGATTGGCTAAATGAAGGGGAAAATGACAAATGTCAGAGGGCATGTGGAAAAATTGGGACACTGTTGATGGAACTGTGAACTGCTCCACCCATTTTGGAGAGCAATCTGGAATTATGCCCAAAGAGTTTAAAACCAGGCATCTATCCACTTTAACCCTGTAATACTATTAGGTCTGTTTCCCAAGGAGATAAGGAAAAAAGGAAAAGAACTCACATGTTCTAAAGTACTTATAGCAGCTGTCTTTGCAGTGAGAAGAAAATGGAAATTGAGGGGATGCCCATCAACCGGGGAATGGCTCAACAAATTGAGGCCTATGATTGTCATGGAATATTACAGTGTTATAAGAAATGATGAACTGATTGATTTTAGGAAAACAAGGAAAGACCTGTATGAAATAATGAAGAGTGAAATGAGCAGAACCAAGAAGAACACTGGATATAGTAACAGCAATACTGTTCAAAAAACTGTGAATGGCTAACGTTATTTTAAGTAATATAAATATGCAAATCAACTACAAAGGACCTACGAAGGAAGATGCTATCCACCTCCAGAGAAAGAACAGAATATATTTATATATACATATACATATACACACACACACACCTATATATACACATATGTATATACATATTACACATATTTGTGTCTAATGGTGGTTTTCTCTAGTGCAGGGTGGGAAGCAGAGAACAGAAGAAAACTCAGAAGAAAGCACAAAAGAGCAGGGTAGTTTTGAAAATGCTTATGTAGTATTTATTACATAGTTTTCCAAAAGAAGTAAACAGTGTGAAATGGAGATTCATGGTTTCATATGGAACATTCTTTTTTGTGTTATGTACATGGAAATGTTTTTTTTTCTTTTTGTAATTTTAAAAAAAGTCATTTTAATATTTTGATTTCATCTCAAATCTAATATTGATTGCTCTGTCACTCTTCTGATACAAAGAAGTCCAGCTTGGGTGAGAGGGCCATTATAACAAGAGAAAGAACTGGCTACCTTCTCCTTTATTTCAAGCTAAAGATCAGAGTATCCCAGGAGAGAATGAGCTGGAAAAACTGCACCCGAGTTGAAAATTAAAGCGCCGGACCTCCAGGTCAGGGATAACCCATTACAGCCTAGCGTTTGTCTTCCAGCAGGACTGCACTATTGTTTGCATGTGTACACCAAATATATACTTCTTAATGTTAAACATTAAATATGTACGTAACGTGTGCACTGCATGGATTGTACATAGACATACTCTATATTTCACTTGTATGAAAAAAGCTGGGAAGGAACACAAATTATGTAAGTGCTTAAACTTTATTTCTGATAATTTGGTGGATCAATGATTAATATTGATAGTAAAGTGAGACACAAGGTTTAGTATTTAATATTTAAATGGTTTTGACTTTATGATTATTTCAAATTTTATTCCATATTGTTTGTATTTGTTAATTGTGAGCTTTTAATTTTGAAAATATATAAATGCACATTTACAATAAATTGGAAAATGATAGGGGGAGTCAGTTTCAATTCTTAAGGTTGTTTTTTTAAGAGATAGCATAGCTCCTTAGTTGATGCTTCTAATCAAAATTTGTTTGAATAAAGTATAATAATACATTAACTTTTTTTTTCTAATTTACAGAAACTTTACACAATAAAGCATTGAGAGGCAGTATGGTAAAGTCAGGAAGACCTGGGTTCAAGGTCTGCTTTAGACACATAAACAAATCTTAAACCTCTCAGTTTTCCCACACAGCTAAGACTGAGTTACAGATCAGTGTTACGGATCACCATCTTCAAGGGTGAAAGGAAGCTTCCACATTGAGAAATCTATTCGGTAATGAAATCACAAGTCCGCACAAAAAGTAGTAAGAGTAATACAGTACATAAAAAAGTCTATATTAAACACTGTTAACCAATTATTTTTCTACTGTCAGAACACATGTATCACGTCACAGTTCATATTTTAAAAACAAGTAAGTAAAACCTTACAATGTCAATGAAGTAATTTCCAAGGAAATAAACATTTCCAAGAGATTACTTGATTCTCATAATATTCCTATGAACTAAAGGGGACTGTTTGCAATAAGGTGAGGTGCAGAAATGAAGTACCCCAGGAAAGACAGCTACAGTGTCCCAGTTTTTCTCCCTTCAGTATTATATGATGATGATAATCACCAATACAGCCTTGGAACATCAAAAGATAAACAGTCACGACATTAGATAGGAGGTTTATCTTTCTGAAAAAATTTACTGCGGTTTTTAAGCTTTTTGCACTTTACATATGACATGTTCTTGATGAGTAAATTATCAGAATTTTCTTTCACTAGACTCAGTTCAGATATGGATATGTTTTTCAAAGCAAAAAAAAGTTTACAATATTGCTTTCATTAGAGTATTAGAAGGAAAGCTGTATTTACATTTTAAAAACATGATTTAAACAGCAATGGGAACAATATAGCAATAGTATATTAATAAATAATAACTATATTATTTGTTTTAAAAAAACAACACATTTCTTTCAACCAGGACATTACTGGTCTGTTTCATCTGTCTGAGTAGCCCATTAAAAATTGACATTTGTGAACAGGACTGTTGTAATGGGTAAAAACAACAAACTACTTCCAATTGAGCATCCCTCTTGATGCGATCGCAATTAAAGGTTTTTTGTCTCTACGCTGTGCAAGTCTGAAACTTCAATATTCAACTCATACAGGAGTAACTGGGATCTAAGATGCCCAACTACAAAGCCAAATTAACACAGAGGCTATACAGAGATTATCCAGTGCTTCTTTTTCCTAGTATCTAGGTATCTAAGAAATAAAAGTAAAATATTAAAGTAAGGTGAAAAATATTCAGAAGGCTGCTAAATGTACGTTTAATCAGAATAAGCAATCATCTTGAAAGATCTCATCAAGAATACGATATAATCTTAGCTAGTATACAGTTTACCTTTTTAGTGACCAGATATTCATGTCCCATCAGATATAGCATTAGTTAAATATTGATTTCTCTCCAACTCTCATTGTAGCTTCCCTGAGAACCACCACCTGGTTTATACTGATCATTGTCTTTATTTCAACATCATATACTAATATTTTTAAATTTTACAAAATTTATTTTCAATTTCAATATTTTAGGTCATATGCTATCAAGGTGCAACAAAGACAACTCCTTAATCTTAACTGTAACTGGCCTCCAAACCTTAAGGTAGTATGGGTTTCTGTGCACAATTTATCTGATTCCACAGCATCTATTTCAGAGGGTGACATTTATTTACCTTGACCTTCTTATTTGGGGCCTAAAGCCTTATATCTCAGTGGCTAGATCTGAAAAAAATGTCACAGCCTCTTACAGTTCCTTCTTCACAGTCTGAGGACTCTTCAGCTGAATAAATGAAATCAAGGTACTCTTAATTTCAAAAAGACACAGTACCAATAAAGACTACATATCAAATGAAGCCACCGTACACTTTACTAGCAATGCAGGAATTGTCAACGCTTCTAAAGTTTATTTCTTCAGTTTCTCCAGAAGGTACAAAGTGAAACAACACTACATGTTCTTCATCTTGGCCATAAGTTCTTCCAAACTCTCCCCAGAATCTTCCACTGATTCCCCCCCAGGCAGGGCATCTTCTGCCTGTTATCAAATGGTGGGAAAAAAAAAAACTAAACAAAAACAGATCATGCATTTCTTGATGTTCTGGAATACATGACCAAAACTTTTCACCTCAAATTATATAAACCCCACTAATTAAAAATACACCCACTTTTAAAAGAGAGGCCAAAAAAACCCAATCTCCATAACTGTCCCTTCAATCCTCTGAATTACAAAATCCAGAAATCTTAAATGTTCACTAGTTAAAACATCAGCACTAAACAAAAACAATCACTTATTTTAATAAGAAGTCATCAGATAATACTTGATATATTATAAAAGAAATAAACACAATTATTTTCTCAATATCAATAAACTTGAAAATATACCACATATAGAACAAAGGCATTTAAGACAGTATTAACAACTCCTACCTCACAACAAACGTAGCCAAAAAAAATAAGTCTTTAAGGCAAGGCAGTGGTAGGGAGATTTATTTTTAGTATGAAATATTAGAAAGCAAAAACACTTTCTTTTGACTATAAAAGTTTCACATACTTGTAGATTTTTAAAAAATGTTTATTTAATTTTTATTTTCAGTTCCAAATTCTCTCTCCCTCCACCCTCTCAGAAGGCAAAAAATACTATACCCATTATATGTATGAAGTCATACAAAACCTTTCCACATTCTGCTTGCTGATGTGACCTTATTTCCTAAGTCATGCTCATTTTTTAGAAGTACCTTTCTTGGAACTGTGTATGCCACCGTAATTCCCTCAGGCAAGTCAGGAACAGGACCAGAAGCATCTTTGAGCTCCTCTTCTGAAATCTCAGATACTAACTCGATACCTGGAGAATGACATTTGATGCTTATTTCTGAGTAGCTTGGAGAAGTAAGCATTTCTTCAGTAATCATAAAATCCTAAAAGGGCTAGCTGGTGATGGATGGGGTTGGGTTTCTGCTACTACTACTCAATTCCTGATTGAACACCTACCCCAGTCATTGTCCTCATGAAGTATTTCTTCTTCTTCTTGTTCAACAACCTCTTGTTTGGGTAGAGCTGCAATTTTTTTCTGCAGAAATTAAATATCAATATGTTCCTTAGATTACTAGTCATTATGAACTCTAGAACTAAAGAGTTTTAAATTCTGCTATAGAAACTGATCAGCCTACAGAAGCTTCTTTAGAAAAGATTTTTTAAAAGCTACTAAAGCAAATTTAACAAGAACACAACATAAATGTAATTAACTTCATTTGATTTTTTAAAAATTGCTTTCATTCAACAGTAAACTCTTCTCTTCTCCCAGGATTCCAAGCCTAAATAAGCTCTTGGTTAATTGTAAGTTTCCAGCATTCGTTCTTTTCCTATGAATAAATGCCCTTTCAATAATCCTCAGGAATAAAAGCTTACCTTATATTCTTCCTGTTGCTTCCTGCAGTTTCTGTCTTCACACTGAGGATTTGGCTTCATGGACATGGTGGGAAAGAAATCTTGCATTGCATTATAACCCAGGTAAAAACTCACAGTACCAAAATTTAACAGAAACCTAGTTTTTGGAAGAAAAAAGAACAAATACAGCTGGGGTGAAAAAAGTGTAAGCATGCATACACATACATTCATATAGACTGGGCTGAGTTCATAGGACTTTAAATCTAGAGCTAAAAGGAACCTCATTCTGAGGCCATCTAATCTAACTCCTTCATTGTACAAATGAAGAAACCGAGTCCCAAGGAGGGTAAGAGGTCTCTTATAACAAAATGTGTAACTATGAGTGTAAAACATGAACTTTTCAAGCATTCATTTAGATACGATAGACAAAGTTACAAGTTTTTCTTATAAATTAAAGCAGATTATTAATGAATGCTTTCATAAAGGAAATATAATATTTATTCACATTAGTGTATTAGCATGATTAAACAGTGATTTTAAAAAATTATACACGGAGTTTTTTCATACTTTGAATAGATCAGTGACTTAAGCTATTGATGAAAAATCTCCACTACCAATGAAAAGTGGCACATTCTGGGTACCCCCCTAGAGTACCATCGTTGAGGGTACTAGAGAGACAGAGTCCTGTCTAATAGTTATGTGCTGTCATATTCAAAATAGATTTAAAATGTATATAAAATGTAAAAGTACTTAGGTAAAGAAAAAACTAGCAGGCCTGAGGTAGGGAAAAGCTACAAAATGTTGAATGGCCCCTGACTCAAGGAAGGAGACTAGGAGCAGGCCCAACTCAAAGACAATACAGCCCAGAAGCAGGTATACTTTGGACCTATCTTAACAGAAATTTAAGGTCAAAGGAGGAGGGCTAATTCAGGGAAATGTCTCCTTTGGTGGGAACCAGACACAATCTTTTTTAAAAAGCAACATGAGGGAACTTGGAAGGGGAACTTCCAACAGTGAAACAGCCCCCTTTACAGCATCCCTTTCCAGTGTGTGTGTGACCTAGCAGGTCCAAGTAAGTAGACAACTAACTGCTCAGTGCCTAAAGAAAGAAGTGGGTGTGGCATCAAGCTCTGAAGTTCATCTAATAGCAGGAAACAATAGAAGGCAGGGATTCAGAGTAAGAGTAAGTTCCAAAAGTGTGTAAGGAGACCTTTACCTAAGTAGACAGACATTCTAACACCAAACTACCAGCAGCTGAAGGGCCCTTTAAACATTAAAGTCCCATCAGGAAAAGGAACTGTTGAAATTTTCCAGAGGGCTCTTACTACTTGAAGCATCTTTTTTGATGCCTCTTAACCAGAGGCTACTAAACATTTTTTTATGCTTTTCGTGATCATTCAGGGTCACGTGATGAACACCAGCTGTTCCACATTGCTACTGAGGCCTGTGGAGACACAGAGGCCGGCCTATGCGCTCCTGGACTCCGAGGCCCCAGGCCCCGTCCTGGATCATGGCATAGAGGTGGCATTTGTTGTTACCGTTTTTTCCAGCCTGCTTCCTTGGAGTCAGTTATTACTGGCAGCACACTGGCTGCTGCAATTCTTCCATCCAATTTGTACTTCTAACCGATTGTGGGCTTGGGAGTCCTGACAACCACTACCAATACACTTACGTGTAAAATAAAGAGGAAAGGGGCTCTTCATGGGGCCTGAAGAATCTGATCAAGAGTAAGGCACATCTACTTTAGGAACTCTACGACCAGTCTGTTGACACTGCTCAGAAACACTGACGGCTTACTTCTTGGTCCCTGGCTATGTTATGGTGTCAGAAAGTAAAGGTCTTACTCTAATTGATAACTGTTCTTTTAAAAATAATTTTCATTTAAGGAAAATTGACACCTGGTCACACCTAAAGAAGCAAAATCAGTGTTCCATAAAGACCCCAATGTCTATAGGCTACCCCTAACTATAGACTTAAGAAAACCAGTCTCTAGATGATTTTCCTATCCAGTTCGACTTTTCACAGGTACTACTTATATACTTTTATACTACATATACACAGGACAATTCAGACATTTTTTCTAGCACTCACTTTAACACATTTTGTACAAGAATTCCAGCAACCACTCCCATGGTAGTGGGAAGACTAGCTGCACAAACTCCTTCTCTTTTTAGTGTCTTTTCATCAATATTCTCAGCAACTACCAGTGGAGGAGCACACTTTAAGGAAAAGGAAAAAAAGGCAAGGTTATTTTAAAAGAATAAGTAAAAGAGATGCATAAATAGAAATACACGAAATTTGGATTATATTTTCTCTCTCATCTCTCTCTAGTCTTAATTTTACATTTTAAAAATTGTAGAACCTAAAAATAGATATCAAACAACAGCAGTACATACCGCAAAACAAGCAGACTCCCCAGGAATGATAAGTTGTATGTGCCCTGAGACTGCATTTTCACTGACTCCAGATTCCATCCATGTTTGCCCAAGTTCATTACAAGCCTAAGTAGAATGAAGTCACAGCTGTGAACAAAAGGCTGGAATTTACTACATATGTTGTTTTCATGATAAATGAGGATCTATATACACACGTCGTATATATACATATTTTAAAATTAAGTCTATTTGTATCACAGTCAAAGCAAAAAGTTATGATTTGGAATGATTATTATATTTAGTTTTTCCATTCTATTAAAAATATTAGTATAGAGCAAAATATGGTTTACTAAATTATCAACACTTCTGAAATTACTGGTACGTGAAAAATCTTCTCCAAAAGAATCCTAGCAGCACTTAAGAAAATAATGCACTTTGACAAAGGAAAAAAATACTCTAATAATTCAACGGAAAAGAGTTCATGATATTGAGAAACACTATCTTCGTAGCAATTTATACATTTTAAGATGTCAAGAAAATTCAAGTTCTCACAAACAAGTACTACTGTAAAACAGTTCTATCAAAATGTACAAATATCTAATAAAAATGACAATCCTACCTAAGCTAATTTACTTACTCAGTGCCATACCAATCAAACTACCAAAAAATTATTTTGTAGAGTCAGAAAAAATAATAACAAGATTCATTTGGAAGAACAAAAGGTCCAGAATATCAAAGGAACTAATGAAAAGAAATGCAGGGGAAGGTGGCCTAGCCATTCCAGATCTTAAATTGTATTATAAAGCAGCAGTCATCAAAACTGCTTGGTACTGGCTAAGAAATAGAGTGGTGGGGATCAGTGGAATAGGTTAAATATGCAAGACATAGTAGTCAATGACTATAGTAATCTATTATTTGATAAACCCAAAGACCCCAGCTTCTGGGACAAGAACCCACTCTTTGAAAAAAAATGCTGGGAAAACTGGAAAAGAGTATGGCAGAAACTAGGCATAGACCCAAATCTCACACCATATACCAAAATAAAGTCAAAATGGGTTCATGATTTAGATATAAAGGCTGATACTACAAGCAAACTGGGAGAACAAGGAATAGTTTACCTATCAGATCTATGGAGAACAGAAGAATTCATGACCAAACAGGAGACAGAGAACATTACGAAAAACAAAACAGATAATTTTGATTACATTAAATTGAAAAGTTTTTGCACAAACAAAGCCAATGCAACTAAGATTAGAAGGAAGGTAGAAAATTGGAAACGAATTTTTACAGTGTCTCTGATAAGGGCCTCATTTCCAAAATATATAGAGAATTAAGACAAATTTACAAGACTACAAGCCATTCTCCAATTGATAAATGGTCAAAGGATATGAAGAGACAGTTCTCAGATGAAGAAATTAAAGCCATCTATAGTCATATGAAAAAATGCTCTAAATCATTATTGATCAGAGAAATGCAAATCAAAACAACTCTGAGGTACCACATCACACCTACCAGATTGGCCTACATGACAAAACAGGAAAATGATAAATGTTGGAGAGGATGTGGGAAAATTGGAACATAATGCATTGTTGGTGGAGTTGTGAAATGATCCAACCATTTTGGAGAACAATTTGGAACTATGCCCAAAGGGCTACAAAAAATGTGCATACCCTTTGACCCAGCAATAGCACTTCTAGGGCTATATCCCAATGAGATCATACAAATGGGAAAAGGACCCACATGTACAAAAATATTCATAGCAGCTCTTTCTGTGGTGGCAAAGAATTGGAAATTGAGAGGATGCCCATCAAGTGGAGAATGGCTGAGCAAGTTGTGGTATATGAATGTAATGGAATACCATTGTGCTATAAGAAATGATGAACAGGCTGACTTCAGAAGAACCTGGAAAGACTTGTATGGTCTGATGATGAGTGAAATGAGCAGAACCAAGAGAACATTGTACACAATAACAGCCACATTGTGCGATGACTAATATTGATAAACTTAACCCTTCTCAGCAATACAAGGATCTAAGACAACCCCAGAGGCCTCGTGGTAGAAAATGCTCTCCACATCCAAAGAAAGAACTGTGGAAGCTGACTTGCTATCATTTTTTTTCTCTTCTGTTGAGTTTTGGTTCCTTTTTCTAATGGTTCCTCCTATTGGTTTTAATTTTTACTTACAACTTCACTAATGTGAAAATATGTTTAATAGGAATGTAAATGTATAGCCTACATGAGATTGTGCACCAACTTGGGGAGGGTGGTGGGGAGGAAGGGGAGAAAATTTTTAAACTCAAAAGCATATGGAAGTGATTGTTGATAAATCAAAATAAATTAATAAAATTTAAAAAAATATATACTACATATCTTTTAAATAATACATCTGAAATATATTTGAAATGAACAAGTTATGCATAGCAGATTTGCAACTTCATGTGCGATCATCTTTTTTATCATACTATGTTATAGAAATGTGTTCTATTCCATACATTAAAAAGATAATAATAATACATCCGAGAAGTATGTGCGTGAGTGCACAATTGCACACATATGTATGTACATCTGTGTATACACATACACACACACCCCTAGAAACAAGGGGTCTTCAACCAGATTGGATATTTTTGCTTGAGCTACTAATATATATATAGCAAAAAGCTAGAAAAATATCTATAGATATGGGTATTTGAAAAAAATTCAAAAATAATCTTTAAAGATAAAAAATTTTAGAACACTTCAGAATTAGGGCTCATACAAAATCATTTATTGCTCAGACAGGAATTAAGACATATGAACAGAACACATATTAAGCCAAATGCATGCATTATCATGTCCTCTGTGGACTAAATAAAGTACTCACTGTATTAATTGCCATTCGAGCTTCAAAGTTGTCCACACAGCTCAGAACTAGATCAACAGGTTTCCCACTTTCCAAGCCACCATTACTAATCAAAAGAAAAAAAATAAGAAAAAAAAATTTTAGCTGGATATAGATAGCAAGTATACACAGAGGGCACTAGTTCATAAAATTTACAATTTCTTAAGCAGAGACAATGATTCATTTTTGTTAACGGTAATAAAATATTAAATCTTCTAACACGTTGCTACCTCCTCGTCTTTCATGGTAATCTAGCCATGTATTTTCCAAATGGCTTTTTCTCAATCCTTATCTTTCTTGACCTTTCTGCAGCATCTGATACTGCAGACCACCTTCTCTTCCTGTACACTCTCCCCTCTAGGTCTTTCTGAAATTGCTCTCTCCTGTTCCCCTGTGTGTCCTCTCAGTCTCCTTTGCTGGTTCTTCAGCCATGCCACACCAACTAATCAAGGGTATCTCTGAAGGGCCTGTCCTGGGCCCCCTTCTCTTTTCACTCTATGCCACAGGTAGAGTATGTACCTAGCTTTATATTGTGCAGTGGCCCACAATACTCCTGAGTAGGTCCAAACCAGATTAAACTATAACTCAGAAATATTTTTTTTAAAAATCAATAAAATACAACATAGACAATTGTAATTTGTAGTTTTCTAAGTCAATACACAGCCCACAGGGCTACATTTCCATGTGCGTTTAATCTCAGTGCTCTAGACTATGTTACCCCATGATCTCATCTGCTCCTAGGGGTTCAAACATCATCTCTATGGATCTATATATCCAGCTTTAGTCTCTTTTCTAAGCTAGTCATCAATGTCCAACTTCCTCTTAAACATCTCAAAACTGGAGGTCCCACAGGCATCGAAAAATCAACACACCCCAAATAGAACTCCTTGTTTACCCCCTCAAACACTGCTTCCCCTTCTAAACTTGTATGTCACTATCAAGGGCAGCACCCAGGTCCACAAACTCACTGCCAAGGCTCACCCACCACAACTAATCTATTATCCAATCTTGTACTAATGCAGAGCAAGCACTTAATGCCTGTTAACTAACTGAAATTACTCAATACCTTTCATTGCAGAGCACCTTCTAGTTTAAAAGCATTTTCACATGCACGCGTTCATCTGAGCCTCACACAACCTTGTGACGGAATCAGGAATTATTTTCTCTATCATATCTCTATCTCCATCTCATATCTAGATATGAGAAACTCTGTTTCAGAGAGGTTAAGTGACCACTATCCTAATACTGCTGGTGAAAGGCAGAACTAGGATTACAAACCTACTTTCCTGGATCCTTCTGCCTCTCAAAACGGAAGCGTTTTTTAGCATTAGCCCCTCACCATAAACACACACAAACACACTCATCAAATGAAACTATAACCCAGACCACAGTGAATCTTTAGATACCAGAAAATAAATACTATAATTAAAACTGAATATATTTGGTAGACTCTTGTAATAGCCTATTAAAATGTCCCATGTTCTAGCTTTAAAAATTTTTTTGAATATAACTACAAACAGGAAATTAAATAGGTGATGCATGAATTGGGTCTTTCCCATAAGGATCATTTTAAGATAGCCCAAAAAATTATGCAATTTCTAAAAAAGCATACATTACTTATTGAGATCCTATCTGACTGTAAATAACGCAAAAGAAGGTATTTTGATAGCAAGTACAAAACTAAAATTAAGGGGAAAAGCATCAATGGAAGAATTCTAAATAAGCATATTTTACCTTATTCTATCCATAAAATGTTGAAAGTTGTCCACTGTGGTAATATTATAATTATATACTTCAAAATGAACATCAGGATTAATATTCCTTAAGGAGAGAAAAAGGAAATAATTACAATTAAACTCATTGGTAGGGACAGAGAACAAAATAAAAATTAAGAGGAAAAAGAAAAAAAGAGTTGGAAGAGCTCCAGAATATTTTGTACTAATCCAGAATTAGAAGTGCTTACTTGTAATCACACACACAAAAAAAGAGTCAGTCTTGCTATTCCTTTTCTCTCCCACCTCAGTGGTAGCAGTTAAATACCAAATACAACAGTGAAAAATAGACCTTGTAAAGGTTTAAAAAAAAAAAGCACTTCACAAAAACTGAGATCAACTCATATGGCAGGAGTGAGCCCTCCCTTTCAATCTGCAGAAAAGCTTCTGATATAATGCTGCTAATTCAATGAAATTCAGCAAGGATTTAATGAGTATCCACTGAACTTGTTAAGGCAGAAGCCACAGGAGGGTTTTACCTGCTGAATATGAGTCAAACCTACAGTTATAAATAAAACACAAGAGCTACATCCAGACACCAAGTGAACTTTTTATACAAGATGTCACTTAATTATGAATACTTAATTTCTATTCTACTGACCGTAAAGTATGCTCTGCTGCTTGAACTTTGCTTAATCCTGCTTGATGGGGCTGGAAGAAAAGTCTATTCATGTTGGCCAGTTCCACTTTGTCATAATCAAATAGTAACAGCTAGAGATAATAAATAATATTTTTATGAATAAACACCTCATTGGTAATTCATGTGTGCCAAAGTCATTCATAGGGTTAAAAATGAACTAAGTTTCATCAGATGTAAACAATATAAATGATTATTCATTCTCACTCAAAGTATTTAAGCGCCCATTTTGTATAAGATATTGTAAAAACAAAAACAAAATTAACTCTTAATCTTACATTTCAATCCCAAATAATCATACTAAAAAGATGAATCAAGAAACACAAAGAAAATTGGTTCAAAATTCATTGCAAGTTTATAAGAATTTTCAGCAGGACTTTGTCACAAGTGGAGTTGACTTTATACCAGAGGTCTTTCTATTTTGTGTGCTACTTAGTTCTCTCAGAAAGATGAGCATAATGACCGACCTCTAACAAAGAGATCACATCATCCCCATGTCATTATACATAAATAAAAGTCACCATAAATTTTCATAATTAGCTACCTAAATCTTTAAGAACTAGGTCAAGTTCTTTTTCTCTGATATGCAGCATTGTATGGAATCAATCAGGTATGGTGAAGTCTTTAGAGAGAAGATAAAAACATGCACTATAATTTAAACTAAAATAGACTTGCAGTAGAGTGCATGTATGTATGTGTGTATGTTTATACACATTTATACACACACAAACATACTGCTTATGTCGTGACTGAAAAAAAGAAATTCTAAACTACAACTAAGACTTTAACCAATACAAAATCATTCTTCTTCGTGTGTGTGTGTGTGTGTGTGTGTGTGTGTGTGTGTGTGTGTGTGTGTACAGGACATATATCAAAACAATAACTTGGAAAAACAAAGGTGCTAACAAATTTTAAAACCAATAATGCATATTTTAGAAAACTAGATCAACCAATCAATCTAATTTGAGGAAAAGGAGTTCTTCTCCCCACTTTTTCAGAAAATCTGATCATGTTTAGATATTAGAATAACAATATAGGATTTAAAAAAAAAGGAACCCAGTTCCAAACCAGAACACTATCAATATCAGACTCACCAATAAGGAAAGGTAAAAGCCTGCACCAAACTTCGCAGGGAGCAGAGGAAGGTTTCTAACTCTTTATAAATCTCTCATTTTACAGATGTTATGTGATCCTAAATTCAGATTTGGAAGGAACTTCAAAGGTCAAACCTTACATTTTACAAATGAAGAAAATGAGGTGCAGAAGAGGATAAGTTTGCACAAGGTTACACAGGCAGGAAGGCATAAGGTGAGGATCTGAATCCACGTCTTCTGACTCTAACCCTGACACTTTCAGCTGAAACAGTTTGTCAGTCACTTGTTCACCTGTTCTAATAGTCTATAAAGAGCTTTGCCACAGCTCCTACCCCAAAGAGCTAGTGAACGCTTCAGACTGGTGCAGGTATTTCTCTTATCATTAGACAGGGGTATTTAGTTACAGGTATCAGCTGTTCAATACAGAAGGCGACATCACTGCAGAAATGAAATTTACTTTAAGAAACTGAGGACACCTCCATTTCAATGGTATCGTAACTCCCTCTATTAACAGATCACAGCTCTTCATACTTCATGAGACACAATGGTCAAAGATACTCATTCTCGGTGACCGATCTTGTGAAGACGAGTATTCCACCACACTAAAACAAGGAAGCAGACAGCTTTGTTGGACCTGCCCAGCTTTACACCACACTGGCCCAGCATCTGAGAACACAGGCTCACTTCACACCACAATTCAACACTAGACTAGGACTTAAACGATACATGTTTATTTTAATAGCTTCAACTTATTTCAAGTATAGGGGGTACATGTATGTGTGTGTGCTTGTATGACATAACACTGACAGTACCTGTTTCTCCAGGAGTAAATGGTTCTTCATGTGATAGAAAAGCATCTTTTACCTTACCAATGCCACATCTTGTTAGCATTTCAGCAGTAACACTACCAACTCCACCAACTCCTATTACTGCTACAGCAAAGGTGCGGATTTTCTGTGAAAAATACATTGAAAACACTCTAATCAATATACTTCATAAAAGTTGCCAGAAATTATTTTGGGGTTGAAATCTTCAAAAATGTCAAATAAATACGATACCTCATAATCCTTCACAATTCCCATTCGTTTCAATGCCATCAGGCGACTTAAAAGCAAAAGAAACAATTATTTTTAAAAACCATCAAAAACATGTTAAGCTTAGATCTGTTGTACAGTACTGAGGGCTAGACACAAAACACTAACAAGTCTGCAGGTTAGTCTTACTGGTGAAAGTAAAGATTACAATGAACAGTCTGAGTGCTGCTCTGGAGCCCAGAAAACATTTACAAACAACAAAAACACAAACCAGGGATGTGGGTACCATGGGAAAAGGGTTGGCTGTGGATCAGAAAACCTGGGGTCAATTCTGAGCTGTACTACAGTGCAACCTTGGGCAGGTCTGTAAACTCCTCTGCGCCCTGAGTTCCTCATCTCTCAAACCAGAGGTTTGGGCAAGATGACCTCTTGAGCTTCCTTCCAGCTCTAACCCTAAGGATTTAAAGATAGGATAACGTCATCTCTCCACCAGATGATGGGATGCCCCCATGGAGATGAAGCACATTTTTATATCTGCCTTTTGCCCTCTTAAGGGCAAGAGGAAGTTACAAGTGCTGAATGTTTAGGTAAAATAAGACAAAAAGTGAATTTCGTTAATCTTCTTTAACTTTTTCATCAACAATTTTAACATTTAGTAAGATGACTAAAATTCCAAATCTGTTAGTCAGGTCATAATCTACCCCTTGTTCTCTTCAGTTCACACCTCCAGCTCCCACCCATCTTCCCTTTTTACAATCCATAAAGTCATAAATTCATAAAGTACACAGGAGAGTTTAGCACTCAATGGAAAATCCAGTCTGGTATTTTTTTGCTAATTGTTTCATTCGTCTTCTTTCCAAATACAGATTCTAAAGTCCTTGAGATAGGGTCCTACCTGTCATCACTTTCTTGAAGCATGTGGCACAGTGCCATAACCGTACACTAATACTTGTAAAGGTCTAATTGCGCAGAAGTCCTGCAGAGTAGCCTGAGGCACATAGTGGTTTACCAAGTTGCCAGCACCACCAGAGGAGGCAGGGGCAAGACTTGAGCCTGGCTTTTCTTTCTATCCTTCAGGCATTAGGAAATCGATATGTGGGGCACCTAGGTGGCAGTGGATAGAGCATCGGCCCTGAATTCAGGAGGACCTTAGTTCAAATCCAGCCTCAGACACATAACACTTAACTAGCTGTGTGACCCTAGGCAAGTCACTTAACCCATTGCCTAGCCAAAAAGAAAAAAGTTAACATATATGGGACTGGAACAACCAGGTCTTCCAGATTTAGAAGTAGAACAGAAATTTTAAGAAGCAGTCACATTTGTGTTCTGAACTTCTCATTGAGAAAAGCGAAAATAAAAACTTGTTTTCTTTACATAGAGAGGAACACAGATTACTGTAATGAAAAACAAAAAACTCAAGCTGTCATTTAAAAGAGACAGTTTCATTTTTGGAAGACAGACTTTCCTCTGAGAAAAATGTAAAACACTAAAGATTCATTTGAATGCTAATCATTAAATTATTTATTAAAGAAGGATGAAATTAGGCTCTAATCTCAAAAGCTATCTTGAACACTGGAAAGCAGGGACTCTGTCTTATCTTTTCATCTCGTGGGCCCAGAGGATGGTACAAATAGTAGGTCAATAAACTGGTTGTCGATCAAGTGCAACCTCTTTATTTTACAGCAGTAAGGGAGGCCCAGAGGGATGAAGTAGCCTGCCAAAGATCCAATGGGGATAAGTAGTAGGACCAGTACCCAGTGGGGTTGCCACGGCCCAAAGTCACACGAAGTAAATAAAGTCTTTACTCTTTTTACTTTACTCCTCCCAAAGGCCCTAAGAACAGGATTCGACAAAGTGGTTTTCGCCACTTTAAATAGCTACACTAGACTACCACACAGTTGGGAGAAGGAAAATCCGTGTCTTTTCTATTCTGACTGCTGTAGAAGTGCCGCTGAACTGTTCATCTTAGAAACGACCGAGCGTTCTCACACATAGACTGAGACTGGCCTAGGAAGAGAAGGAGCAAGTGCAGATAAACGTCCCTAGGCAATGGCAAGAAGGGGAGCGGGAGACAGGAGGAGGGGAGGCAAGATTTCTTGTGTGGCGGGCCTGATTCCAATTTCATTAAAATAACAGCCAAATATGGAAATGTTTTCCACGACTTCGTCTGTATAATGGGCACAACACAGCTTGCCTTCTCAATGTGTATGGAAGGGGCTGGAGGGAGGAAAAGCATTTCACACTGAAAATTTTAACAAATGAATGTTAAAAATGAATTAACGCATCTCTTTTTTAAACGAACAGGCATACTTGAGGCTAAACACGCCCTGCGAACCCTCCATCTGGAGCGAGCCTGAGAACACCAACCTGGTCTAGAATCGTTCTAGCCGGGATCCTCCCCTGAACGGGCCCTTTAAAAACCTCTTCTTACACCCGCGGGCGTCGGGAAAGGAGGCAGTGAGGGAAAACGGGAAACCCGGCCCGGGCAGGCCTCAGATCGGCGGTTCTGCGGGGGTCGCGCTCACCTACCTGTACGGGTTGGAATCCACCACCTCCGGGCTCATCTTGTCGACGCGGGCCCGGCCTCCGCCGGCGCTGCCTCCCGGGGCCTGCCGGCTCCGCTCCTGCGCCAGTTCCTGCTCCAGCTCCTGGACCCGCCGCCGCAGCTGCTCCGCCGTCTCGGCCGAGGAAGAAGCCATGTCCGGGGCCGGGGCCGGGGCCTGGGCCTCGGCCGCCCCTCGCCCGGGCCTCCGCCTCCCCCGCCGCCGCCGCCCCACGCTGCTGCTCCGCGAGCCAGGCCCGCTGCGCAGACACGAGAGCCGAGCCGGGGAGCGCCCACTCCAAGCCAGAGCGACACGTCGCCTCAGCTCGCCAGGGCCTCTTCCGGTGTGCTACAGCCATCGCCTTCCCTTGGCCACGCTTCCTTCCTGCCCCCCCACGCCTCCACCTCTCCGGGCGCGCAGAGCGGGCAGGGGCGGAACCGTGTAGCTTCGGCGCCTACGTTCCCGGAGGGTCCTTTTGCGAGGGACCAATTGGCTTTCCGGTTTTCAGTGAATGAAGTTTGAAAGGAGGGATGGTGTGGCTTCTTTCGCCTCAGCCAAGCAGCCGTCCCTTCCTTAGTCTCGTCATCTGGGACGAGCGGAAAGCAGAAGCTGCTCTGGAGCCGACAACCACTGACAGAGAGCGGCGACGACGCCGTTGCTAAGCAACCGCAATGCGAGCCAATCGCGGGAGAGCCACGCCCCCAAGGGCTGCATCCTGTGAGGAAGTGATCGGAGGGCCGGCCCAGAATCCCGCCCAGCCCCGCCCCTTGGGTAGCGTCCTGTCGCCCTCCGCAAGGATGGGAAGGCCCGGCCCGGGCCCCGCCCTCGGCTCCCCACGCCCCCGGCTCCGCCTTCCCACGCCCCCGGCTCCGCCTTCCCACGCCCCGAGCCGAGCTCCGGCCAGCAAACTTTGGACCGACGGATTTGGTCCTCGGCTCTTTGGTGTCCCGGAGGCGGAGCTGGCGGCGGCGGCGGCGGCGGCTGGCCATGGCGTCCGAGGCGTTTAGAGAGCCCGACACGGGCGACGTCCTGCCCCAGCACAGGCTTGATCAGAGGTCCCTGGAGGACTACCTGAGCCGGCATTTGCCCGGCTTCGAAGCCGAGCCCACCAGGCCCCTGACCGTCGCCCAGTACAGGTAACGGAGGAGGCCGGGCGCGCCGCGCCCCCTCGCGGCCGAGCGGGGCCTCCTTCGCCTCCACCCCCGCGAAGAGCGATGCGGCCCTTCAGCGGCGAACGAAATGAGAACTTATAAGGTTCAGACTAGAAGATAAAGAACGGTCTCACCGCGAGGAAGTCCGTTCTAAGTCAGTCCTTGGACTCCCTTGGAGTCTGTGGGTAGATTTCAGGGGTTCTGTGGACTTGGATGGGGGGAAAAGTTACATCTTTATTTCAATGTAACTGGTTTCCTTTGTAATCCTATGTATTTTATTTTATGCATTTAAAAGCGTTATTTCAAGAAGGGGCCCATAGGTTTCACCAGACTGCCAAGGTGATCTGTGACACAAAATAATTAAGGGCCCCAGCTCTAGAATTTCAAGCAAGTTCAGAAACATAGTGGGCTTTCTTTTTATCCTTCCCACGCGTGTCTGCCATGCCAAAGTCTTTACCCTCTGGAGTGTCTTCTGTCCGCATGTAATATGTTAGTACAGTGTCATGTACACAAGTACACAGTGTTGTGCTTAGCATCCTCTTTGTCAGTTGAAAGTCACATCTCCCTCTGAATTTTCAACAGCCAGAATGACCCAGGCTTAGATAGAAACCGTGTAAATCAGTTCAATTGCCTTCAGCCAGCAAAAGAAAGACAGGAAACTCCAGGTTCACAAGCTTGGCAGAAGCTTGTAGCCAGATTATGATAGTATCAGGTATGAAAGGGCTCCATTAATCCCATATGTGAGAATAGCTAAAGAATCTGTTTAAATGTATGGGGTGTATACAACCACCTTTGCTTCATTTTCCATACCTGTCATTCTGCTTCTGCCTAAGGACCTCAAGTGAGGGAGGACCCACTGCCTTAAATGGCTGTAATTATTAAGAAGTTATTCATAACATAAAGTCTCCCAATTTTCACCTATTCTCTTAGTTCTGTCCTCTGGGAGTAAACAGAAGAAACCCAACCTTCTTCCAGATGATAGCCCTTCAAATACTTGAAGATAACTATCAAATCACCTCCTTATGCCTTTTATTCTCCAGGTTCAGCATCCCCACTTCCTTCAACCAAACTTCATCATTGTTTGGACACAAATTAAGTTTTTTTTTTTCAGTCTGAAATTTACACCTCTTCAGTACCCTGTACCCCTGGGGCACTTACCCAGTGAGGAAGTGGAGAGAAGACATCAGAGAGGTCCTCCCAGATCCTTCGTTTAAGGAGAGTGCATAGGGCAGCCCCTGTGTCATTTCCTACCCAGCTTCATCACAGTCCCCTCTACCATGTACCCTCCTCACTTTCTTTTCTTGCCCTTCATACTTTTTAGCTTCTTTTTATGTGTTACATGTCTACCTAAAATCTAGAGCCAGTTTTATACTTAATGGAGATAGATCAGAGGCCTTTCCAATAAGATCAAAGGTAAAGCAAATATGCCCTTTATCACCATTACTGCTTGATATCCTGATAGAGATAAGAAAAAAAAATACTGACAATAAACATTGGCAAAGAGAGGGGGAAAAAACATGACATTGTACTGCAGGAACTCTAGAGTCAACTAAAAATTATTTGGGAACAATAGCCAGCAAAGTTGATGAACATACAATAAACTGACAAATCATCAGCATTTCTGCATATTGCCAATAAAACCGAGCAAGGAGAGAAAAAGAAATTCCATTTAAAATAACTAAGATGCAAAAAAGAACTGTATGGATGTAACTACACAACATTTGTACAACAGTACGTGATAATTATGCAAAAATAAATAATTGGAGAAATATTGATTTTTCATGAGTAGGCTGAGCCAATATAGTAAAAATGACAGCACTGCCTAAATTAATTTACTTATTCAGTTCCATACCAATCAAGCTACCAAAAGTATTTCTTTATGGAGCTAGAAAATAAATAACAATTTATCTGGAGGAACAAAAGGTCAAGAATCTCAAAGAAAATAATAGGGGGGAAATGGTAAAGAAGGGGACCTAGCAGCACCAGTTCTCAAGCTATACAACAGAATAGTAATCATTAAAACAGTCTAGAAAGCAGTCTAAATTTTGCCCAAAACTACCCTTTTTTCCCCATCCTTTGACCCAGCAATACCGCTGGTAGACCTGTACCCCTAAAGAGATCAAAGGAAAAGAAAAAGGACCCACATATACAAAAGTATCTGTAGAAACTCTTTTTGTTTTGGCAAAGAATTGGAAAATTCGGAGATACCCATTAATTGGAGAATGGTTGAACAAGTTATGGCATGTGAACATGATGGAATTTTAGTGTCATGTGAAAAATAAAGAGGATGGTTTCATAAAAACCTTGGAAGACTTAGATGAACTGAAGCAAAATGAAGTGAGGAAAACCAGAACAATTTACACAGTAACAGCAATATTGTAAAGATAGTCAACTTTGACAGACTTGGTAACTCTGATCAACACAATGCTCTACCACAGTTTCAAAGGACTCCATGAGAAATGCTATCCACCTCCAGCTAGAGACTGATGGACTCAGTGTATAGACTGAGGCATATTTCTTTGCATGACTTCATAGTTCTAGGGGTTTTTCTATTTCTTGCCTTCTTAATGGGTGGGAGAGGGAGAGAATCTAGAACAGAAAATAAAATTGAATTTAAAAAACCAATTTGGTACCAGTTAAGAAATAGAGAGGTTGATCAGTTAAACAGATTGGATAGTTTGCATTTATTAAGTACCTGCTTTGTGCCAGGCATTATGCTAAGCAGTGGAGATTCAAATCATGGCAAAAGACAGCGCCCACTCTCCGCTCTCAAGGAACTTGCAGTATAATGGGACAGACAATATGCAAACAGTGACATGTAAACAAAATAGATACAGGATAAATAGGAGATAATCAGTAGCAGGAAGGCAGTAGCGTGGGGAAGGGGGAGTCAGGAAAGGCTTCTTACAGAAGGTGAGACTAGCTGAGACTTGAAAGAAGCCAAGTAGCAGAGATCAAGAGAGAGGGAATGTATGGGGCCAGCCAATGAAAATGCCTAGAGTTGAGAGGAGTGTCATATCTAAGAAATAGCAAGAAGGCCAGTATTCATGGATCACAGAGCACATATGGGGGAGGTGCAAGTTGCAAGAAGACTAAAGGTAGAAAGGGGGCAGGTTATGAGGGACTTGAAAAGCAGAACAGGATTTGATATTTGATACTGGAGGCAATAGAGAGCCACTGGAGCAGATTAAATAGGGGCTTACATAGTCATGCTGTTGCTTTAGGAAGACTAGATTAACTGCTGAGTAGAGAATGGAGCATACAAAAAGACCTGTAGCACAGACTATTGCAATAGTCGTGCAGTGAGGGACCAGTGTTGAGACTATGTCAGAGAAGAGAAAGGGGCTTATCAAAGAAATGTTACAGAGGTAGAAACAGTAGTACTTGAACATGGGTGTTGGGTGGGAGAGTGAAGAATTGAGGATGACAACTGGTTTGTGAGATTCAGTAACTGAAAAGCTGATGGTACCATTGATAGTAACAGGGAAATTAGGAAGGGGAGAAAGTTTGGAAAAAGATAATGAGTTCACCTTTGGCCATGTTGAATTTAAAATGTCTATGAGAGATCCAATTCAGAATGCCCAACAGGACGTTTAAGTAGTTTAGCCACGAAGGGGAGAACAGACAGAGAATGATAGTAGGGGTAGCTCAAGGAAGGAGACTCATGGGCCTGTTTGTAAGCAGTGGAGAAGTAGCTAGTAGACAGGAAGAAATTAAAGAAAAGTGAAAGATTGGAGATTATAGAGGAAACAGCATACAGGAGAAGAAGCTAGATAAAATGGGGTCACTTATGCATGTAGAAGCCTTTGCATTGGCAACAAGGAGGATCATAAAGGCAGGGAAAGCAATCATGATCTCAGACAAAGCAAAAGCAAAATTAGACCTAATTAAAAGAGATGATCAGGGAAACTACATTTTGCTAAAAAGTACCACAGAAAAATGCTAACCACATCCAGAGAAAGAACTATGAAGTCTGAATGCAGATTGAAGCATGCTATTTTCACTTGTTATTGTTTTTTTTTCCTCGTGGTTTTTCCCTTTTGTTCTTATTCTTCTTTCACTGGAAATGTGTTTTGCATGATTGTACATGTAAAACATGTATCAGATTGCTTGATATCTTGAGGGGAGAGGGGAAGGAGTGAGAAAAATCTGGAACTCAAAATTTTACAAAAAAGAATGTTGAAAACTATCTTTACATGTAATTAAAAAAATAAAATGCTATTAAGGAAAAAAAAAGAAAACAAAAAAGGTACCGTAGACAATGAAGTAATATCAAAAAAATTTATAGCAAATTTCTCTAATAAATAATTCATTTTTTCAAATATATAGAGACTCCTAAGTCAAATTTATAAAAATAAGACCCATTCCCATTTGATAAATGATCAAAGGATATATGAACAGGAAGTTTTCAGAAGAAGAAATCAAAGTTATCTGTAGTCATATGAAAAAATGGTCTAAGTCACTACCGATTAGAGAAATGCGAAGTAAAACAACTCTGAGGTACCACTTCACACCTATCAGGAATGACAGATGCTGGAGGGGATGGGGGAAATAGACACATTAATGTGTCATTGGTACAGTTGTAAACTGGTACAGCCATTCTGGAGAACAATTTGGAACTATGTCCAGAGGGCTATAAAACTGTGGAATCCCTTTGAACCAGCAGCGCCACTACTAGCTCTGTATCCTAAAGAAATGAAAGAAAAAGGGAAAGGAGCTATCTATCTATCTACCTATCTACCTATCTATCTATCTGTCTGTCTGTCTGTCTGTCTATCTATCTATCTATCTGTCTGTCTGTCTGTCCTGTCTATCTATCTATCTATCTGTCTGTCTGTCTGTCTATCTATCTATCTATCTATCTATCTGTCACCAACCTATACACACACAAAAGTATTTATAGCAGCTCTTTTTGAGGTAGCAAAGAATTGGAAATTGAGGGGATGCTCATCATTTGGGGAATGGACAAACAGGTTGTGACGTATGATTGTGATGAAGTACTACTGTGCTGTGGGAAATGACAAGAGGGGTGGTTTCAGGAAAAAAAATATGACAAGACCTTTTTCAACTGAGGCAAAGTGAAGTGAAAAGTACTAGGAGATCATTGTGCACAGTAACAGCAATATTATAAGGATGATCAACTGTGAAAGACTTGGTTACTCTGATCAATAAAGTGATCCAAGACAATTCCAAAGGATTCATGATGAAAACATGCTGTCAGCTTCCAGAGAGAAAACTGATGAACTCTGAGCTGAAGTATAATTTTCTGACTTTCTTTATTTCACTTGCTTTTTTCTTTTTTTGCAATATGGCTAATATGGAAATATATTTTATATGATTTAACATATGTAACTGATACCATAGTGCTTGCCTTCTTGGTGGTGGAGGGGTGGAAGATAGGGATAGAATTTGGAACTATACATTTTAAAAGAAAATGATTAAAATAAATACTTTTTTAAAAAATGAATGTTAAATGTTAGTTAAAAACGAAATTTAAAAATTAGGCTTTGGGATTACAAGCTGATGGAGAGGTGGAATGACAACACATTGTGATCAGATAAAGATATGTCAGAGTTCTCGAACATGAAAGTGGCACATTTATGGGCAGTAACAAGATCAAAAAACAGATTAGGTACACAATATACTGAAAGAATAAGTCTCCTAGCCTGTGGCTTGATCAAAACTTGGAAAACTGAACTGGCAGGAACTAGGTATAGGCCAACATTTCCCTCGTTTACCAAGATCAGCTCCAAATGGCTACATGACTTAGACATAAAGGGTGATATTATAAAGAAATTAGAGAAGCAAAGAAGAAATTCATGATCAAATGAGGGATAGGGCAGATTCAGGGGTGGGGAAGCTGTAGGTAGCCTCCAGGCCACATGTGGCCCTGTAGGTCCTCAAGTGCAGCCCTTTGACTGAATCCAAACTTCACAGAACAAATCCAAGGAGATAAATTCTTGTTAACTGAAAAGTAACAAAAGTTTTGATTGTCATCATTTTTTTCATTTAAAAAAAAAAGTTACAGGGATGTTAAGCAGAGCCATAAGCAGATTGACGCATTTTTTCTAGGATCAATGGCAGTACTGATTTTAGTATGGTTCCAGAGCAGACGAAGTGGTCTGATGAGAAGATTACTAGGTGGTAAAGTAAAACATGATTGGAACTAGTTTATATATAGTGAACCTGGTAAGACACTCACTAAATCAGGGTGGGGATGTGAATGGGAGGGTTGGGTTCCCCAGGGCAGAAGGGATATGTTCTCTAGGGCATGGGTCTTGGTCTGGAACCCAGATTTCCTGAGTTTCTAGTCCAATGCTCTTTACTAAAAACAAATTCTCCTGGACCCATCATTCTTCTTTACCCCACCAGTTACCAGATTTTCCTTTCTACCTTCATAGCATCCTTCACATCTAAACCCTTCTCTCTGTTCATAAAGCTTCCATCTGAGTTCAGGCCCTCATCACCTCTTTCCTAAATTATTGCGACAGCCACATAATTAATCTGTCTCAAGTCTCTTACCACTCCGGTTCATTCCTCACACTCCTGCCAAAATGATTTCCATTGAACACCTGACTCCATGGCTCACATATTCACTAAACTCTTCTAGCTTCTTACTGCTTCTGGGATCAAATAGGAACTCTTCAGTTTAGTTTTTAAAGCCATTCACACTGTCTGACCTCAGCTGATCTTTATGTCCTCATTGGGTGTTATTCCTCTTCTTGTGCTCAATCATCCAACAAACTGGCCTTCCTTCCATTCTTCACACATGCCCCTCCACTCCAATCCGGTGATCCAATAAACAGTTATAGGCTCCATCTCCCAGCTCCAGGCCTTTGCTCTGGCTATCTCCTGTGACTGGGATGTGCTTCCCTCCTCTCTTCTGCATCGTAGAATTCTTCTCTTCGGGGCAGAGCTCAAGCACTACCTTCTGTATGAAGCCTTTCTTTATTTCCCCTAATTGTTAATGCCCACCTTCCCAAATTACCTTGCTGACAACTTTGTATTTATTTGTATGTATTCATATTTGTTTTCTGCATTCACGAAAATGTGCTCATCCCTACTGGGGGAAATCCATGAACACAGGTAGTACAAATATATAAACTAAATATAAAAATATAAGCTAAAGGTAAAGGGTAAAGGTAGAGACCCCTAGCAAATGGAGGGATCAAGCTAGGCTTCATGGAACAGATCTCATCTGAGCTGAGTCTTGGAGGTTAGAGATTCTGTGGCGGTGAAGAGGTATGGGAGGCATTCAGGAGCAGGAATTCCCATTGATAGATTGTCATATAAATTATAGGGTCTAGCAAGTAAGCCAGTTTGGTTTAAATGTAGAGTGTTAGGAGAAGTAATTACCCTGGAAAGAGAGGCTGGAGCCCAATTATGAAGAGCTTAAAATGCCTAACAGGGGTTTGTATTTTATCCTAAGAAGAAGTCACTGGAGCCTCTAGAAGAAAGAAGGAAAGGAACATACAAACATGTATTAAGCTATCTATCTGGCTCTGGAGATACAAATGCAAATGTGGAAGAAAGACTGCCCTTGTTCTTAAGGAGCTGGGACTTTGTTTCACTGAGTTCTTTGCAATCTTGGAAAGTCTAATGGTACTGGAGGGAAGGGGAGATGGGGGGAGGAGGGGAGAGGGACAATAGCCATAGGCACTGAAAAAGTGTGTATCCAGAGGGTGGAGGAATGAAGGTACCTGACATGTAGGGGTTTTGAAATCCAGAAAGTCAGGAGCAGGGCCAGGAGGAGAATGAAGGCTGTCAAAATGTGTTTGGTTTTGTAAGCCTTCCTGTTGTGGATTTGCTCTATACTATTTTTGAAAGCATATAATAAAATGACTTGGTTGAATTAAATGGTATCTAAGGTTTACTCTACTCTTAAAATTCTGTAATTATGTGTTTTTATCTTTGTAACTGATCATTTCTCTTGTCTAGATCAGGACAGTCGAATCCAACCTTTTACCTTCAGAAGGGATGTCGAACTTTTGTACTCAGAAAAAAACCACCTGGCCCTCTCCTTCCCAAAGCACACAAGGTATGACAGATAGAGTGTTAAATTTATTGATGAAGAATAGAACATTTTAAACTCATGAAATACAATTTAAAGATATTTTTCTTTAGGCAAAGCCAGTACAAATGTATTTAATTTCTCAGGTTGGTTAAAATTATGCTTCTCTCTTTCTTCCACTGAAAAACAATAGTCATCTTTAAACCACTAGTCATGGGCCATAACCTAGCCCTCTGGAGTCTTATCTGGAAGAGCAGTCGTTCAGCAGCTTTGTTCTTAGTTCTAGTCAATTTATGTAGGTTTTACTTTTGGTCTTTCGTTTAAATCGTGTGTAAAATGGCATCACGATGTGAAGGGCCCCACAAAAGGCCCCCCATCCCATGGGTGGATCTTCTGTGGAAGAGCTAGATACCACATTCAGAAAAGTCGCTCAGGATGCAGATGCAGGTAGAGGTCCCAGTCTGTACTGACAAAGGAAATGCCACATCCATTAGGTCACAGATCTACTGAATTGAAGTTGAAAGAGTAAAAGAGTTGCATTATTCTGGGCCTTTATGTTGTACTTGTAACTATCCAATAAAAAAAATGAAAATAAGTTCTTGAATAGGGTTTTCATCTAATTTATTAGCAATAAAATGTAAGCTCTGACAAAGACTTCTGCAGTTGTTCTTCGGGTGTTGGGCTTTTAGCTAATTATAATGATGAAAAAATTACTTTGTGAAAATGATATGCCAGGTTTTCAAAAGAGGAGAAAATGGGACAGTGAATGTGAAAGCCCCTTGAAGAGCATAGAGACGTTCAAATGCTAGAATGACATTTCAAGATTTTGCTAAATAACAAACCACATTAAAGACATTGACTATTAAACCGTCAAAGACTTGTGAAAAGATCTGTTCGGCCATTCACTTACTCAGAACATACTTATCACATTCTAACCGTTATCAAAACATTGTGCAGCGCCGCTGAAATGAAGAATTCTCTGCTCTCACCTCATCGGTAGTCTAGTGGGAAAAATGAGACAAGTATATCAACAATTACAGTATGGAAATAGTAATTTTTTTTAAAAAAGTACAAACTACTACAGGAGGTTAAGAGGAGAAAGACGCTGAGAATCCGGGAAGTCTTTGGATACTTTTTTTAGAGAGTGGATCTTGAGTGGGACTCTCAATGAAGATAAATTTAGCTGGATCTAGAGAGGAAGGACAGAGGGCAGAAAGAAGAATGTGAGTGAATACAGGAAGGTGGAAGAGGATGGGGAATGCTCACAAAGCAGACAGTAGCCCAGTTCAGCTGGGGTATGGGTGCACCAGGAGAGGTGGGAAGGCAGGCTGGAAGAGAGGTGGCACCCAAAGCTCAGATGACCTTGAATGCTGGGTTTAGAAGGCCAAATTTGATATCATGAGAAACCTTTGAAGCTTTCGGGACAGGGGCTTTGAGCTGGGCTCTCATAAAATTATTCTAGCAGTGGTGTGTAATTTGGACAGATGAGGCAGAGGTACGATTTAGGAGACTAACACAGAAGTCTAGGTAACAGATGATGAGGTGACTACTAACACAGTAGTCTAGGTAACAGATAATGCTGTTAGCAATGACCCTGGAAGAGAAGGAACAGATTTCATAAATACTTCAGAAGCAGAATGGGAGTACTTAGTGACAGAGTAGATGTGTGGGGGAGTAAAATAAAGAGGAACCAAAGGTGAAACCAGTATTTCCACTCTGGATGAAAGGGGAAATGGTGATGCAAACCATAGAAATAATGATCACTGAAATTGGAAACAGACCTGACTCAGGTCTCAGCTCTAGCAGTGTGACCTCTGGGGCACTGGAGAGAATAACGCTACTGTTTCATAGGACTAGTGAGGACAGAACTTTGTAAGCTATAAAATAGTGTGCAATGTGAACTAGCATCAATAAAAATTACTATTAATAATTCTTCATTAATTAGTGCCTTTGTATTGATAATTAACTAGAACTAGTATTAACAGGAATGTCAACGTCAGGAAGAGGAGCAGGTTCCACCCTCATTGACCCTGAGGTGTTAGGGGGACACACAGGTGGAGATATATAACAGGAAATGGGGAAATTGGATCTACAACTTGCAAAGAAGGTTGAGAGGGGAGGTAAAGACATGGTGGTTATTTGAATAGAGGTGACATTTAAAGCTGTCACGCAGACTCTACAACGTAGACTTAGCTATTTTTGTCCACGTTTTTCAGATGAGAGTCAGAGGATTAACTGGCTCATCTTTGGTCACAACGCTAGTTAAGTGTCAGAGTTGGGACATGAACTCAGAAACAGTTTTGGGAAATACCATCGTTCGGAGGGGAGGAAAAGCAGATATAGAAAGGAGACACACAAGGTCATCACTGAGGTGAAAGGAGAACCAGGGAAAGTATGGTATTGTAGAAGCCAAGAGAGCTTATCCTCTTTTTTTCTTTTTCTTTTTTAAAACCAATCAACAGTTTTGTTTGCATTACAGAAGGAAAAACTATTACGCTTGTTTTGATTTACAAGCTGAGAGACTAGCCCTGAAAAAACTGGAAAATATACTGACTTTTATTAAATTATTTAAGTCATGAGCTAGATAGCTCAGCCAGAATTCTCAGATCCATGAGGGAGGCACAAAACACAGTGTTAGCCTGGATGTGGAAATAGTGGTCTTTTTATTGGCTTGGAGAGGCAGTTACTGTAGTGGAGAGGGGGTTGGCCTAGGAATCAGAAACACCAAGGTACAAATCTTACCTCCAACATAGCCTAGGTATGGAGCATTGGATAAGTCTTGTAATCTCTCAGTGGTCCAGGAAATTCTCCAAGATTATAAATTACACAGAAGTTTCGATCTATATTGGTGGAGGGAATATCTATATCATCCCTGCACTGATGAGATCACAGGCTTGGACACCTTCCCCTTGGTACTTCCACCACCCTGCAACTGATTTAAATTGGCTGAGACATTATATAGATATTTATTGAAATAGAATTCTACTTCTATATCTAATTAAGAACCAGTTTTGTAATTTACAGGAGTTCTAGTAATTTGGGAATTAATACTACTTTTGGAAGGAAAAGTTAGTACTGTAATATTCTTGGAAAATTACTTTTATAGGGGCAGCTAGGTGGTGCAGTGGATAGAGCACCAGCCTTGGAGTCAGGAGGACCTGAGTTCAGATATGACCTTGGACCAAACACTTGACGCTTACTAGCTGTGTGACTCTGGGCAAGTCACTTAACCCCAATTGCCAAAAAAAAAAAGAAAAAGAAAATTACTTTTATTGTCATAAGTAATCTTTACTAATCTGGTCCTGTAAACATTTTCTCTTGTAGCAGACAAATTAAAAACTAGGCATTTAAAAATTATTAGGATCATGGATTTAGACTGGAAAGGGCCTTCATGGTAATCTAATGTTAGCTTTCATGTTACAAATGAGGAAACTTGGGCTCCCAGGGCAGTGAAGAGACTTGCCTAAGGTCACACAGACAGAACTTGAACCCAAGTCCTCTGACTCCAGATCTACTGCTCACATGCTCTCTCTTCTCTCTCTTTCTTCTCTCTCTCTCTCTCTCTCTCTCTCTCTCTCTCTCTCGTTCTCTCTCTTTCTCTCCTCTCTCTCCTCTCTCCCTCCCTCCTTCCCTCCCTCTTTCCCTCTCTGTCTCCCCCTGTGTCTCTATCTCTGTCTCTCTCTCCTCTCTCCCTCCCTCCCTCTTTCCCTCTCTCTCTGTCTCCCCCTATGTCTCTATCTCTGTCTCTCTGTCTCTCTCCTCTCTCCCTCTCTCCCTCCCTCCCTCTTTCCCTCTCTCTCTATCTCCCCCTGTGTCTCTCTCTCTGTCTCTCTCTCTCTGTCTCTCTGTCTCTCTCTCTCTCTCTCTCTCTCTCTCTCTCTCTCTCTCTCTCTCTCTCTCTCTCTCTCTCTCTCTCTCTTCTCCTCTCTCCCTCCCTCCCCCTTTCTCTCTCTCCCTGTCTCCCCCTATGTCTCTATCTCTGTCTCTCTCTCTCTCCCTCCCTCTTTTCTTCTCTTCCCACTGCACCACACTGCTTCATAGTTCAGAGGTTAGGGTATGTAAATATTGTTGTTTATGCTTCTATGAAAAGAATGTTGAACTACACATCAGGAGCACTGGGATTTTGAATGTTGAATAAGCTGTAATTCTATTTAGGTTGATAGAGAATTCTATGTGCAGAAAGCCTTGTTTTCTAATGGATTTCCGGTCCCTAAGCCTTTACTGTACTGCGAGGATGTCTCTGTGATTGGAACCGAATTTTATGTGATGGAGCATGTAAAGGTAAATTAATATACAATGTTATTATACTGTTGCTATTTATGATGAGGATCAAACAAATGGGTTTATTTTAGCTGCTCTTAAGTGGAAAGATATTTCATAAAATGTTAGGTAATTCAAGTTATTTTTCTTTTCTTTTTGTTTAAATGCTTTACTGATTTTTTTAACATTAGTGTCACTTCTGAATAACTTCCCAGTTGAATGTCACAAAGAAGTACAGGTAAGCAAAACAAAACCTGTGGGTCGGGTTTAACCACATCTGCTTCTTTCCACACCTGTGCTCCATTGCCTATTGCCTCTCTACAGAGAAGAGGAAAGCATTCTTCACCTCTGATGCTATGATTGGTCACTGCAGTGATTAGAATTCTGTATCTTTTCATGGTATTATTCCTTTACATTCTTGTGATCAGTGTATAAGTTGTTCTTTTGGTTCTGCTTACTTTGCTTCGGATCAGTTGATACAAATCTTCCCAGGTTTTTCTGAATTCTTTATATTTGTTGTTTCTTGTGGTGCATAACATTCCATATGCCATCATTTGTTCAGCCAGTCTCCAATCCATGAGCATCCACTTTGTTTCCAGTCCTTTGCTTCCCTAAAAAAGATAGTGCTGATAGAAATATTTTCATATATGCCTTTCCTTCTGTCTCAGCTATCCATAGGACATATGCCTGGCAGAGGCATCTTTCTGTCTACCGTAAGTGACTTTTCTAGTATAATTCCAAATATTCATCCAGACCATTTCACAGCTCCTTCAACAGTGCATGAATGTGACTGTCTTCCCATAGCCTCTACAACATTTATCAATTTCATATTTTACCAATCTGGTAGGTTTAAGATGCAACCTCAGAGTTGTTTTGACTTGCATTTTTCTTATTAGTGATTGTGCATCATTTTTTCATATGGTTATTTACAGTTGGCTTTTTTGTTTTCATTTTAAAACTGCTTATTTGTATCCTTTGATTCATTACCTATTGAATAAATATTGTTTTTCCATGGTTTTAAACTTTTTTCTATCATGCAACCAAAATTTCTAATTTTTCCTTTAATCTTAGCTAAAAAATACTAGGGGCAAAGTAAATTGTTAGAGAAAATTGCCTAAATCTTTCCTGTGCCTCTAGGTGTCAGTACAGATCTATAAAATGACTGTGGGGGTGGGGAGGGAGAATTTTATTCAGATGGTAAGTGGGTTTCTTGATTTGTTTATTTTTAATTCTCAAATAAAGAACCAAAATTGATGAAAGGTAAAAGTGTTGAGATAGTATTCAAGCATAGAATTTAAAGATTGTAGTTGTGGATTTTTATCTGTTTTAACTTGACTTTTCTCTTATGATCATTTTCTTTTCTGAACAACAACAAAATCCTTCTTTTAAGCCAACATTTGAAATGAATATTTCCAGAATAAATGCTGAAAAGATCCGCGGTTTGAATACAAACCTGTTATCCCAAATGTCTCTGGACATTGAAATAAAGGAAGAAGAATGTGATCATTAGTGAAATGACACAGCAACAATGAGCTATGCAGTTTTTAAAAATCTCTTTGATGTATTGATTTTGTAGGGTCGCATCTTTCGTGATTTCAGTCTTCCAGGAGTTAGCCCTGCAGAACGATCTGCCATATATGTGGCTATGATAGAAACCCTGGCCCGGTTGCATTCACTGGATATACAGACTTTGGGTCTGGAAGTGTATGGTAAAGGAGAAGGGTACTGCAAGAGACAGGTAAAATACACCTCTTTGTCATTTTCTTAGTTACCACATATCAGAATATATCATGTATTTGGAAATAATGTGTATTGTTATTTTTTTAAAAATGAACCTAGAAAAGGGGATTTAAAAAAAATTATATCATGAGTTCTAACATTAAACTTTTAAAAGACTTTTTTTTTTTGCTTAGCATAAAGGGAATATTTTAAAATTTCAAATCAGGCTATAATTCCAAAAGATTTCTGCAAGTGACTCCATGTACCTGAAGGCAGGTTGGCAGTTGTATTATAAATGAGATTTGGCCATTTAGTTTACTTATTTGTGGACTGTGGACTTTGGAGACGAGGGCAGGGAGGAGCCCTGGAACTTTCTGGTAATCTGTTTCATCAGTGGAGCTCCTCCCATCCACTGATATTCTTCCTGGACTCATTCCCTGATGATTAGCTTTCCTTTCTTTACTTCCAGGGATACTTATATCCCAGTGATACTGAACCTGCCAACTGCCAAAAAATAAGCCCTGCCCTTCCTGAGCCCTGCTGTCCTTATGTCCTTATTCCTGCCCAGCTCAACCCTCGCGTCCAGTGGCCACTTCACTGTCCCCTTTGGTGCTCCTCCTCTGTAATTAAGAAACTGCTTCTTAGTCCTCTCCCTCTCTCTCCATCTTCTGGCACTAACTGAGAGTTGGCTTCTCCTGGATGACACTGCATTCGTGGGCATCTCTGCCAGGACTGCATGCACCTTCTTGCATACTGCTTGACTCACTGTTCCGAGTAAGCAGGTTAGACTCCCACTGCCCCCCATTGCCATCTCTAGACTCTCCTTCTTCAGCCGTCACTCAATGGTCTCTCCCTGTCCGAGGTTCACTCCATTCCAGTTTATCCCCTGCTGACTATTCCAGATCCTGGTGACTTTTGTACTGACCTCCAGAACATTCTTCCTCTTTCCAGTGAGTTCAGTATGTGGCCCACAGTCTCGTCCTCCATTCCAACTCCTTCCTTCCTACTAGGAGATGTCAGCATACATGTAGATGTTACCCCAAACAACTTTCCAGTTCTCTAATCTACTTTACTCCTTCACTTCACAACATACCCACAGGGATGATCATACCTGTGATTTTTCACAAGTGTTCCATTTCTGGATTCAAGAACTCTGAAATATCCACCATTCTGCCTCTTCCTGTGCCCTTCTTTTCCTAAATCTGTCTTCTGCCTTTGCTGTGAACTCTGAGCCTTCAGGGGAGACCCCTCAGATTGTCACCCCTTCTTTGTCTATATTCTCTTCCCTGCCCGGCCTCTGCTTACCCTACACCATCCTACTCTCAAATCTCTGGTATGAGGTCTGGAATTCCCCTGGCTGGGGAACCCTGTACCTCCCCATAATCTTGGGGTGTTCTTTTGATACCAAGGGAAGAGGTCAGGTATCTCCAGATTGATTATAGGTAGTAGTTTAATTAATCATTATGAATAATTACAAAACAGGGGCAATCTTCAGTCTGGGGCAGCAGCCAGACAGTTCAGTGGATCCCCACACAGAGCCCCCCACATCCTCCTGGTAATTATAGAAAATAGACAAAGTGAGGAGGAGCTAGAGAGTGCATCACTATTGATCGGTGGGTGCTTTTGCTTTTGTGCTTAGCAATGAGCTTGGGCCTAAGCCAATGTTATGCCCAAACATATGTTTGTTTTTATGGTTTTCATAGGTCATAGTATCCAAGTTTTGACTTTGATTCAGTATCTAAGTTATGATTTCTAACAGGTCACCATATTTGGGCTTCCACCTTTCACAGAGTTTAAGTTTTTATGGCTTTTCACTTATTACTGCATTTTATGGCTTTTCCCCCAATTGGGACCCCCCACCTTGCTCTCTTGTTATGTCATCACTTGCCCCTTTCCAGACCCCAACCCAGGATTATTCCTACCATTTCCTCTGTTTCCTTTATTTCTACTCCCATGCTGCTAATTGGAGCTGGAGAAATTCATGAAATGGCCTCCCGGGTCCACTCCAAAGTTCTGTCCTCTCATCTCAGTGTGCTCTCACTCAACCAGGCAATCCTTCTGCTGTCTAATGGATTCAGTACCCCTCTCACCACAGTGGCTGTTCCAAGCATTTTCTCTCTTCAGTATTCCCACCTCACCCTTTGCCTTTCTCTTCTTCTGAGGACCTTGCTTCAAAGTTAAAAAAAAATAGGGTCATTCACCTCAGACTCCTTCTTCTGCCTCTTAAAATCCTTGTGACATCATCCTGCTCCATCTTGGAGTCAGGAATACCTAAGTTCAGATCTTGCCCCTGAAACTTAGTAGATGTGTGACCCTGGGCAAGTCACTTAACCTTGTGCACCTTCACTTTCCTTATCCATAAAATGAGAGTATTGCACCCCATGGGCTCTGACATGCCCTTCCATCTCTACATTCATGGTTTTATGATCTCCTCCTTTATTCCAGCCTCTGAGGAAGAGGTGGTCCTTCTTGCTAAGCAAGGCCAACCCCCTTCATGGATGCTCAATCCTGTCCTCTCTTCAGGAAAATGTCCCAACCCGTGGTCCCCCTGCACTCTCTAATATTCAGTCTCTCCTGTCTACTCATTGCATCTCACTGCCTACAAATCTGCCTGAGTGTTTCCCATCCTCCATTTTAATAAAAAACTTACAAGATCCTACCATCCCTGATAGCTTTTATTGTATATTTCCCTTTCCCTTATGAACTAAATGCCTTGAAAAAGCCATCTGTTTACCTCCCCTTACTGCATCTGTGCTTTTCAGTCTAGCTTCTGAGCTCATTTATTCAGCTGAAACTGTTCTCTCCAGAAGTTAGCAGTGATCTGTTAATTCCAAGATCTCGAGGCTTGTTCACAGTCCTCAAGTTCTGACCTCTCTGTAGCCTTTGACAGTGCTGACCACTTTCTCCTATGTAGCCTCTCCTCTCTGGGTTTTGTGACACTGCTTTGTCCTGGTTCTCCTCCTGCTGGTGTATCTGGTTCTTCACGGTCTCCTTGGCTGGATTGCCATCCATGTCGAGTCCACAAGCTCTGGAAGTGTCTGAAGGCTCTCTCCTGGGCCCTCTTCTTCGTCTTTCAAATAATCTTTCCCGTGGTGATCTTATCACCTTTCATGAATTCAGTTATCATCTCCGTGTAGATGACTCTCTGATCCTTATATCTGGCTCCAGTCTTTCTCATGACTGCCAGTCCTGCATCATAAACAGACTAGGGAGCATTCTTTATGGGAGGAGGCCTCTGTGGGAGGATTTTCCTGGATGGATGCCTGCGTGTGCACACCCACACATGCACACGCGCACACATACATCCACACATATAGTTGTTGTCTCCCCTGTCAGAATGTATGTTCCTTAAGAGCCAGTACTGCCTCACTCTTATCTTAGCACAGTGACTGGGAGAAAGTAAACAATTAATAAATGCTTGATTGATAAATTCTGTGAATGATTCCTTCTCCAAGAAGTACTTATTAAGTATCTGCTGTATATCCCAGGGTGGGTTAGATAAAATAAAGGATGCAAAACAAATAGAAGATAGATTTCTATCTAGAAGGAGTATCTGATCCCATTGCGAAGATAAGCGACCGTAAGTTCTAATCAAATCTGTAGATATTCCGAGGCTATCTTGGCAGGCATTTTTGGTAAGAATTGTATTCAAGAAGTATCCATGGACTCAGTGAGTGACTTCTGAGGAGAATGCTATCCTTTTTTAATCCCTCTCTTCCCTTCCAAAGGTGATTACTAGTCCCACAGAGGGTAAGTGTATCTGCTACTTCCTAGTTTTGTGTCTTTGGGCAAATAATTTCCCATCTCTGGGCCAATGAGGTGATTAGATTAACTGACCTCAGTGGCTTCTTCCAGATTTTAAATATGTCATCTTAAGAACATACATGAAACAACTAGAAAATCATATGAGAGAGTATATAATTGCATGCTGAATTTGTGGCATGCTCCAGAAATGGTCTGTGACAGTTGAGGGCATGGAAAGATCAGTATGAGTTAGCATATGGGAGACAGTTTCATGGAGAAGGTGAAGCTTGAGCTGATTCTTTTAGGATAGATCAGGATTTCAAGGGATGGAGAGGAAGGTGAGAGGAAGGGCTTAGAGATGTGAAAGCATGTTAGTGCTGTGTATATGAGCATGTAATTAGGGACTTTGGCCAGAAGAGAGCAGAAGATAGGGGAAGAATGAGAAGACGTGGGGTTTATAGCTAAAATGGCACCAATTTATCAAGGAGACTGAAAGTTAAGCCATGGAATGGGGCATTGATTTGATCAAATGATCTAAGGAGCCATCTTGGATCCTTAAAGGGGCAGGGGATATTGCATGATTTAGGCTATATTTTAAGAAGTGTAACCAGGCAAGATTGGTAGGATAAATTTGAGAAGGAAGAAAATTGCAAGTAGGGAGTCCTTTCTGAAAGTTCAAAGCTTGAGATAATGAGGATTCGGGTCTCCAAACTCTGAGTACTTTCTAGCAGTAATTTTGCTTCCTTTCCTGTATGATTATGGCAATAGCCAATCAGTAAAACAAGCATTTTGTTTTTAATTAGTGAATTTTTTTTAAATATTCAAATGTTTTAAGAAGCGAGTCAGATACCTTGGTATTGACAGAGACTGACATGTAGCCAAAGTACTAAAATTGTTTAAATTGTCATTTAGTCTTTTTTCCTTGTTCTAACATTTTCACTAAATAGTCATTGCTGTCACCGTTCTTTAAAAGTTAATTATTTGTCTAACAGCACATTTGTGCAGTTATTGAACATTGTTAGCTCAGAAGTTGTCCTGTTGATGTTTTAGTGCTTTACTTAAAAGAACAAGCTTGTTTTTTGTGTTATTTAGTTACAAACTCCCTGTTGTGGTTATCTCATTGTTCACTTATGTAATATCCTGGGCAACATGTGGCGGCTAGTCTGAAGGATTGTCTCATAAAAACATTCCGAAAAGATAATAGAGGACAATTTTGTTTTGCAGATGTGGAAAACCTCAACACATATGATAAATACCTCACAGTGTCCCAGAAAGACAAATTAATCGTTGTGAAGTGTTTCTAGGGATGAATTCTTTCATAGTTCCTGTTTGCCTTCAGTCACTGAGCCAGTATATATCTGTACATAGAGATATACACACACACACACACACACACACATATACACATATATACACACATATATATATACATATATGTGTGTATATATGTGTGTGTATATGTGCGCATATGTATGTGTATGTGTATATATACATATACATACACACATATACATATACATATACATATGCATATACATATACATATACATATACATATACATATACATATATGTGTATATATATATATATATGTATATATGTAAAGTGCCAATTACATGAAGATCTAATGTAATGCCAAGTCCTGAGAGGGTGCCTTGTGTTACTTGGCCCTAGAAACACTGTGATATGTTTAATAGTGAAATAAAAATGTAATATAATTAAAATACATTTACGTATTAAAATGTCTATTTGTAACTTGCTTTTAATTTCTAAAAACGATGTATCCACGTGCAGGTATTAACATGGACAAAGCAATATCAAGCTGCAGCTCATCAGACCATCCCTGCTATGAACCAGCTCTCTACCTGGTTAATGGAAAACTTGCCAGATCAGGACCAGGAGCAAACCTTGATTCATGGGGATTTTAAAATGGATAATTTGATTTTCCATCCAAAAGAGGTATTCCAAATATTATGTCAATTACTGGGAGGTGGGGCTAGCCCTGGGCAAAATCTGAAATAGGCCTTTGCTTCAGCCAGAACATCTGAGCTGCTCCACTCACCTTGCTTATGCTCCCAGAATCACCGTCACCAATCAGAGTATTTATTATTGCAAGGGAGCAAAAAATTCATGGCATTGGTGTATTCTATGTAGGGTAAAGACCAGATACTGAGTGATGTCTATGATGTAATTAGAACTGTATAAAAGAAAGGTAGCTAGGTGGCACAGTGGATAGAGCACTAGTTCTGGAGTCAGGAGGACCTGGGTTCAAATTTGGCCTCAGACATTTACTAGCTGTGCGACCCTGGGCAAGTCACTTAACCCTGATTGACAAGGAAGGAAAGGTATAAAAGGGTTTGACACTTGGATGGTGAGGGAACTGGGGAGTCTGCTTTAAGAGGCTGCATGGAGGGAACTGGAGATGTTGAGTTTAGGCTTGAGAAAAGGTGATACAGGGAGGTACATGGGAGCTGCATTTAAGTATTCAAAGGGCTTATATGTGGAAGAAGAATTAATTTGACTTGTACTGCTTGGCCCCAGGAGAGTGGAGGGAAATCGCAGAGGCAGATTTCATCTTCATGTAAAAAAAAAAATTCCCTTAGAATGAGAGTTCTGTCAAAGTGGAATAGGCTGCCTTAGGAGCTGAGGGGTCTTCTGTGCACCTTCAATAAGACTGTCAGAGCCCCTGCGAAGATGGTGGGGAAGGAATTCTTTTTGCAGGTGGGTGTGTGCTACACTGAGTGGCCTCGGGAGTTTCCTTCCAGCTCTGGCATTCTGCAGTTCTGTTATTTAAAAAATAAATGAAGAAAATGAATTTTTTAAAAAATGAAGACTATTTAAAATGTCTAAATTTTAAATACCTGGTTTGACTTTTGCTTTTTCCTTCTTTTTGTCCCCTGCTTCACATGTCCTCTCTTTTTTTTAATCTTCTTTGAGATGAAAAGATTCCCCCAAACCTCAAAAGCATTACATAAGAAGAGTGGTCTCTTTGTGTTGATGCCCACCATAGAATTTTTGTAAAATTAGTCAAAGTAAATCAAAGCTGTCACTCTACAATGAGTACAGGTTATATATCCTGGTAGTGGAGGAGTTCATGATGGGCATTAGGAGACAGAAACTTTTCTGCTGGTTTAAGAGATTTGGAGCAAATCTTATGTTTCTTAATATTTTTATTCCAGTAAATGTAATACTTTATTTCATGGATTGATTAGCATAATACTGGCAAATGTCAAAGGCAAGATTTGCACTCAACTCTTCCTGGCTCCAGCACCTGTACTCTATCCATTAGACCACTGATAACCTCCTTTGGCACTATTCGCACCACATTTATTCTCACATTTCCATAGTACTGTGATTTAACTGCATATTTGAAATGCATAGAATTCAAGAGGAGTATATTAAATGCTTATGATGAGAAGGTATTGTTTTGTAGGAAATATAAGGGAAAAAAGGACAGTTTCTGCCCTCAAGGAATTCATAATTTTTTTTCTTTTATAGGAGACAAAATTCAAATTCACTATTAAGTGGCTGTTAATGTTCAAGACAGAGCAACACATTGAATAAAATCTCATTTCTTTTCATAATTTCTTTTGACATTCTTCACCTTTTATCCCTCCATGTGAAGTTACTAATTTTTGTAGTTCTGTAAAGTAGTTTGGTAGATTAATTGTATGACATTAAATAATTAATTTAGGTGTTTTTATTTTTATTATGTTGGCTTGTACAACCCGTGATCAATTAATATTTTCCCCAAATAAACGTGGGGATGCAAGAATAGTGAGAATAGTGGTGGGGAGGAAATAGGGGGCATGGAGAACAGCTATAGAAAAGGGGAAAGAAGACTAGTGGGAGAGTCAGAGAATCTGTATTCCAATGGAGACTTTACCATTTATTCTTTGATCTTAGGCAAGTCGGAACTATAAGAACTCAGTTTCTTATCTGTAAAATGAGGACAATATCTGTGCTACCTGCTTCACCAGGTGGTTATAAGGATCAGATAAAAATGTATGTGAAATATAAACAATAAAGTTTCTCAATGTTAGCTGTTATTATCAGATCTTTTCACCTCATCCAAATGGCATGGCCATGTAATAAGTTCCAAGTAATTCATACAAAAGTTACACTTTTCTGTATAAATCAATATTTTAATGATTTAAATGTGTTATTATTATTGTAGTAGTATAATAATAGCTAACATTTATATAGCACCTGCTATGTGCCAGGCACTGTGCTAACGCTTTACAATTATTATCTCATTTGGTCCTCACAACAACCCCGCAAGCTAGGTGTAGATGAGGAAATTGAGGTAGATAGAGGTTTAGTGACTTGCCCAGAGTCACACAGCTAGGGAGTATCTGAGGCCACATTTGAACTCAGGTCTTCATGATTCCAGGCCCAGCTTTCTATCCAGTATACCTCCTAGCTGCCCCATTATGCAGTATATAGCATTGGTGATTAAAATACACAATTAATCCGCAACTGTGTTTTTAGCCAATAATGTCTATCTTTTATATCACTAAACTTTTTTATGTCTGCAGAAATATTTAAACAGGCTTGGATAATCTACAAACTAGGTTGGGGTAGTCAGTCCTATATTATTTGAGAGATGGCTATGTGTAATTGCAAGGGTCAAAATATCCTTTTTTTTTTTAGCAAAGCAATGGTGGGTGTGGGCACATTTGAATCAATTTATTTACCTATGTAAAAGTCATTTTGGAGTTCTAATTTTGTGAAACTCTTGGTTTTGTTTTGCTTTTTTTTTCTTTTAAATTAAAGGCTCGTGTAATAGCAGTTCTAGACTGGGAGCTTTCAACCATCGGCCACCCTTTGTCAGACTTAGCATATCTTTGCTCCTTCTTCTTTTGTCCTAGGACTCTTCCAGTGTTAAATAAAAGCAAGAGCTTGCAACATAGCGCAGGTATGAAACTGAAGCTTTAAACAAATAACTTAATTTTAGATTTATTTAATTTTCTGTAACTAATGTTTCAATAATAAACCAGATTTTAGACTTTTAAATAACTTTCTTATAGTCTTAGAACTATGACTCATTTGCCAAGTTTTTATTCGTAGAGTTCACAGAACTTATAATAGAAGATCTAAATTTTAGCTTAAGAAGAAGATGAATAAAGAACTAATTTTCAAATGTTTTCTTTCTGAAATTCCATTTTAATAATTAATTCCAAAATTTGGCCTAGTGTATTTAATGTATTTTAGAGAACCAAAGCTTAGAAAAACTATTGTTATGTGATTTGATTTATAGTTTGAAACAAACTAATGTTATGATAGCATAACATTCTTAAATACATACTATAACCTTTTAGATAAATAGTGTATTGTTTTTATAGGGATACCATCAATGGAAGAACTGGCTTTAATTTATTGTCACAACAGAGGAATTAGCACTACACTTCCTAACTGGAACTTCTTTCTTGCTCTTTCGTATTTTAAATTAGCTGGAATACTGCAGGTAATTATTTAGTTTATAATGTACAGAGATTAATATTGGAAAATTTTTTTAAATTTAAATTTTGTGCATGTAGGTGGGCAGGGGATAGAGTGCTGGATCTGGAGTTAGGAAGACTTGAGTTCAAATCTGGCCTCAGACATTTTGTAGTGGTATGACCCTGGGCAAGTCACTTAATCTTTGTCTGCCTCCATTTCCTCATCTGTAAAATGCCAATAACAATAGCACTTACCTCCCTGGATTGTTGTGAGGATAAAATGAGATAACATTTTTAAAATGCTTTGCAAACCTTACAACACTAAATAAATTCTAGCTCAGGGGTGCGGAACCTGCAGCCTGAGTCCAAGTTTTACAGAACAAATCCTTTTATTAAAGGGATTTGTTCTGTGAAGTTTAGATTCAGTCAGAGGGATGCACATGAGCACCTAGAGGCCTTGAGATCGCAGGTTCCCCACCCCTGTTCTAGCTATTATTATGATTTGCCTTATTGAAGAAAGAAGAAAGCACTGTTATTAGTATTGAAAACAGTTTGTATTTATAAGTATATTAATTCAGTCTGTTAATATTTATATGGAATGAACAGCAAATTAAGAGTAGATTCAAATATTGGATAGATTTTTTCTTCTTAGATAGGTGAGTCTGTTGTGTTAGGGTTTGTTTTTCTTTGTTGAGTGTTTTACATATAGTTGTTGATCAATAAATATTTTTGAATCGACTTGAAAGACAGGGGCCAGGAGTAGCAAACCTATAAACCTTTCTGTTAGGTGATGGAAAAATCAGAAAACTGCATACAGGGAAGGGTTGGGTGAGATGGTCTCCATGGTTCCTACGAGCTCCAACCCTATGATCGCCACACATGACCGCTAATGAGTCAGAAGAGGAACAAGAAAGAAAAAAACAAAGAAAGAAAAAAGTGCTGTTGCTTGGGATGTTGATGGACATTAGAAGGCTTGAGTATGAGAGAATGGGGAAAGCAGAAAGGATCTAAGATGAAGCAGACACTATTCCTTGTATGCAATAGGTGCTTAATAAATGTTTGAGGTTTCCCCCCCATTAAGAGAGTAAGTGCCAAAGTAAGAGCAAAGACTGTGTCTGTCATCTTCCATCTCACTGCACCTCTTGCATAGCAGATTCTTAATTAGAATTGAATTAAATTGAAATGGAAAAGGAATAAAATCTTGATTGGGCCTCTCTTATGGGGCTCTGGCTATCGGGACTAGTGGACTGGGAAGAATAACCCACATTATGACCCCAGTAGGAAGAATTCTCTGTTATTATTGTCATTGACAGCTTACCTTTTGCTATTTTAGACTGTTTACATTTTATCTTAGCAACAAAATATACCATATTTTCAAATTTATATTTTTGATATAGATGGTGTGCTTACCCAATTTTCAGAGTATATGAAGCTAAAAAGATTACTTAATATGTTGGCTGCCAGAATCATAATTTAGGAAGATCTGAACAGTCTGATTAAACCGAACCTAATCATATGAAATCTAATTAGAGTAAATGTTAAGTCTTACACTTGTTTTAAAAAAAAATCAACTATCTACATTTAGAGTGGGAGCAAGATGACAGCACACCAGCTAATATGAAAAAGAGCCCAGGGTTTTGGTGCACTCCAAATTCAGTATGAGTCAGCCATGTGATATGGCAGCTAGAAACGGTAATAGAGTCTTTGCATATAAATATATTGTGTCCAGAATAAGGGAGAAAGTGGTGGTGGTCCCAAGTCTCTTTCCTCCTCAATTCACATCGGGAATATTGTGATCAGTCTGTTGCCCAAATTTTGGGGAATATGGGGTGACTATATAGGGCATCCATGAAAATGAGGGGAATTAAAATTATGCCACATGGAAGAAGTTTGAAATAATTGGGGATATTTAGCATAGATAAGTTAAGACTTGCAACAGTGGGGAAGAGAGTATTGGTTTTCCTTTGTAAAGCTGATTCAGTCTATTCTGAGGCCAGAACTAGAGCTAACACGGGGAAGAAGAAGGGACACAAATTTTAGCTCAGGGTAAAGAAGAATATTTCAGAAATAAGAGCTATCCAGAGATAAAATGAGCTGCCTCATTAGGTAGTGAGCTGCCTCTCCAGGTAGTGAGTTCCTCCATCACTGGCAGTCTTCTGGGAGAAGCTGGAAACACTTGTAGAGCGCCAGGCTTGGAGTCAGGAAGATCTAGGTTCAAACACCACTACAGACATGTAATGAGTTCTCTGACCCTGGGCAAACCACTCACTCTTATGAGCCCCGGTGTCCTGCAAAGCTTGTCTGAAGCATCACTTCCAACAGGAAGCCCTCATCTGCTAATGCTACTCTCCAAAATTACCTGGTATTTACTTGTATGTACTTATCTGTACATGTATATTCTGGATGTGTGCATATGTGCCCGTGTTGTTTCCCTATGGTGGAAAGAAAGCTTCTTGAGGACAGTGACTTTTTCACATTTGTCTTTGTACCCCCATGATGCCTGGTGCATAGGAGACACTTATAAATGGAATGCAATGGAAAAATGGGTTCATTGAGCCTCAGTATCTTCATCTGTAAAATGGAGACAATAACAGCATTTATATCACAAGATTGTTGGGAGGTACAAATGAGATAGTGTATATAAAGTGCTATGCAGACTTTTAAAATCATATGCAAATGTCAGTTGTTATTATTATTACTATTATTATTAGCTAAGTACTTAGTAGAGGAGATGCCAGGATGGATTGTACTAAATGAGCTCTAAGATCTTTTCTAAGCCTAGGATTCTATAACTCAAACATAAGGGTATTGAATTTCTGATGATGTCATTCAAATAGTGATCCAGGTGTAGAAAGAAAAGGAATAAGAGGACAGGAAGCAGCTCACGAGCCAAAAAGCAAAAGCAAAAAGAGGTTAGAGAAAAATAGACATTTTTTTTCCTGCTTTTGAGAGCTCATGCATTTTCCATCAGACTGCTTCTTCTCTCAGTAATCTCCATTATATGCCATCTTATCCTATTACTTTACATAAGTTGGCTGCTTTGAATAGTGAGTTCCTCAAAATGGATCTTAGAAAATCTTTCTGAATCTATTTCTACAATTGGATATCAAATAAGATTTTAATGTGAAACTATTTTTCTTTTCATAAAGGAGCTAGGTCAAAATGAAAAATATCAAAGAAGGTGATTGACATTTGTATATTAATCATATGTAGTTTCTTTAGAAATTAACTTTACCCAAATTACCGACATGAAATTGGAAAATCTATGACAATACCATATATGACATGGATGAAATTATTGACTTTTTTTTTTGTCAAATTAGAAGCAAGAACAGGGAGAATCAAAGATAAACTGATAGTGTCCATTTAGCGCTATTAGGAGAAGGGATTCCTTTGATCAGTTGAAATGGGAAGGCTCCATTTGTCGTTTGTAATTGTTAGATTTGTACTGTGTGATTTATACAGAGTCTAACTTAATCCAGATCAAACATTTTTAGAGGTTACATAATTACCTTTTCTTTGGTTCTACAGTTTTCGTAGTAATTTGGTTTCCTAAGTAGGTTTCTCCAGTCACTGAAGCTGATGTAATTGGCAAGTATGGTTGTTTTGATAGCCATATTGTCCATTTTAAAAGTGCAGTTTGATTCAGGAGGACCTGAGTTCAAATGTGGCCTCAGACCCATAACACTTACTAGCTGTGTGACCCTGGGCAAGTCACTGAACCCCATTGCCTAGCCAAAAAAAGTGCAATTTGTCCTCTCTGCTAAGAGCATGTTCTATGTAGGTGATAGGAACATGGCCACCTAGTTTAGGCAGCTCTTACTAGCTCTATAAGTGAATGAAATTGGCCTAGTGGTTGAAGAGTTAGTGTTCTGTGAGTGTCGTTAGGCCAGGTCAGTGATGTGATGGAGCCACATCAGCCCTGGGTCAACTGTAGAGATGTGAGGCAGGACTTTGGGGGTGAATACCTGTTGGCAAAGCTGAGTGCTGGGGCTGCTAGGTAGCACAGTGGATAGAGCACCGGGCTTGAAGTCAGGAGGACCTGAGTTCAAATCCAGCCTCAGACCAAATACTTGACATTTACTAGCTGTGTGACCCTAGGCAAATCACTTAACCCCAATTGCCTAAAAATTTTTTTTGAAATTTAAAAAAAAAAGCTGAGTGCCCATGTTATCTTGCATTTAAGGGAGTATATGCCAGATATCTTCTGGGAAATTCTGCATCTGAAACAAGTTTTCTGTTTGCTGATGCTGTCAAACCCCTAGCAGAGGTTGGACTACAATTTGCAAAGAGGTAAGACAAATATAAAACAGCTGAAGCAGATTATAGCTTTTAATGAATTTGTACCATATATGCCCCTATTTTTAAATGTTTGGCTGGTAGGGAGTATTTCTTTGCAGTAGCCAAGTGCACCGGCAATCATAGTGGGGTATTCAGTAATGCTTCATGGGGCACATTTGGGAATGTTACACTAATTGGTCTGCTTTACCTTTGCTAAAGAACTTCGAGTGCTGTGCTTTCACAGCCTGACCCTTCAGGAAGATTGTTCCTCCAGACTAGGACAGGCCAAGAAGTTCTGCTCAGGGTGAAGCATTTTATGCAGCAATACATACTGCCAGCAGAAAAGGTAATTGTGTTCCAAATTCTTTTATTATAAAATAGAATGTATGTTTTGCCAAAAGAAGATTCAAGAGCTGTGACCGTGCTCCCAACCTCTGCTCAGTGTCAGAGGGAAGCTACCTATGTGCCTTTGCTGGGAGCCCTTTTCCTGCTGCCTGGACGCTGAATTTTGTGCAGTTCTGGGGTGGAAAAAGTCACTTTTGTTTCTCATTGGATTTCTTGATCATTATTTGCTCTGATATGAACTCCAGAGTTTTGCTGTAGCAGGTGTCTAGAAGTCAGGCAGCATCTTTCCTTATTTAGAGGCCTGTCTGGGTATTAAGCTTCAAGAACCTCCTTGAGAAATAGAGAGAGGGAAGTATAATGGAAAGAACATTGGCGCAGAATCAGGAGATTTGGCTTCCAAGACCACCGGCTGGGGGATTTTAGACAGGCTGTTTGATCTTCTTGGGCCTCATTTTCCACACCCACAAGATGAGCATTTAGATCATCTCTAGCAGTCCTTTCAGATTCTTACAATGTTACTCATCTTAATCATATAGATTCAGATAATAAAGTGAAAGTAGAGAATTGAGATAATTATTTCTCATTTGAAACATCCAAAGAACTGAGCGGAGTTGGGTTTGTTGGGTTCTTTTTTGAAGGCGCACAGTGTTTGGTTTGTTTTGATTGAAATTTGCCACTGTTGGAAGCATAGAATGATAGAAGGGGGTAAGTGCCCTCTCTTCCTTTGAAATTGCCTTGTACTTGCTTATTTGTGTATTATTGCCTTCCCATTAAACTCCTCATGAGCAGAGACCCTAGCACCTAGTGAGCCTGTGTTGAAAAAATGCTGATTGAATTAAGATTGTAATATCGATTAACCCTTGATGATATGCACTACCATTTTTTTTATTGCTATATTTATCTTAGAGCTTTTGGTCCTTTAGAGACACTCTTGTAATAACTGTACTGACAGTTATTACAAGCTGAACACTTATTTCCTGGTACTTCCTTAGTCTCAATAATAAAATACTACAACTTCCACCCTTCTTGGTGAAGTTTATTGTGTTTGCCTCCAGAAGAGATTAAGCACTTGGCTAAAAGGTATTTAGGAAATCTTGTCAACTCTTTTTTTTTTTCCATGATCTATCTGAAAGAGTTTGCACCTGTCTAGACTTGTAACTTAACCAGGCAGAGATTTAGGCCAGAGTACAATTGTAACTTGCTTTTTTCTGTCAGGAAGTTAGCTTCTATTTAAGGTTTCCTGTTTTAGGCTGTTTATTATTGTTGTTTTTAAAAACTGAACACTACTTTATTTCAGCCTGTTATGCCTGTAAAGAAAGGTATTTTGTAATACATACATTTTTCTTACTCTCTGACTTCATCTTTGATGGCAAGGCAGAATTGAGATGTTGAGTAATGGGAACAGTTGTCTAAATTTTTCAGAATAAAAAAATGCTCATATTATTTTCATTAGTAAATCATCTCTCAAAAGATGGTTCCACTGAAATTACAGAGCAAAATTTGAAGATTTCATTTTCTTTTGACATCATATTAATGTCATAGTCAATTATATAGACATATGTATCTGTATTATAGCTATAGATATAGATATGGACATATATGTGTATACAGACAAATCTGTCAGTGGCCAATTTGAACCCTAAAGCAAAAATTTTTGAGAAAAGGCTTGGAAGCTAATTTGATGTGGGGTTAGAGGAAGATGATGTGAAAGGTGATGCCCAAATTTTGAGCCTGAATGAATGGGAGGGTGATGGGCATGTACTATTAAAAGAAATAAAGTCAAGAGGAGTAGCTAAATTGGATGGGAAAGTGATAGATCAGTTTTATATATGTTTTGAACTTGAACAGCAAGACTACTAGGTAAAATATCTAGCATGCCATTGGAAATATCCCAGAGCTTGTGAGAAAGGTCAGGGCTTAAAAATATATATTTAAGATTAATCAACATATATATGATGACCAACTTTGATAGACTTAGCTCTTCTCAGCAATGCAAGGATCTAAGACAGCTGCAAAAGACTCACGATGGAAAATGCTGTCCACACCCAGAGACAGAGCTAGGGAGGCTGAATGCAGATGGAAGCATACTACTTGCTCTTTTTTTTCCTTCTGTTTTGTTTCTTCTTTCTTGGGATTCCTCCTATTGGTTCTAATTCTTCTTTACAACATGACTAATGTGAAAATATGTTTAATAGGAATGTATATGTAGAACTTCTATCAGATTGCGTGCCGTCTTAGGGAGGTGGAAGAAGAGGAATGGGGAGAAAATTTAAAACTCAAATGTGAATGTTGAAAACTAAAAATAAATTAGTAAAAAATTTAAAAAGAAATAAAAAGAAAGGAAGGCTAAGAGAGGGGTCATGAGTGTGACCTTATATTTGGAAGGCTTACCAGAACTAGAAAACAGAACAAGGGCAAATGGGCAGAAGTTGTAAGAGGTAATTTTAAGTCCAAAATAAAGGAGACTTTCCAAAAAAAAAAAAGATTAATCAACATAGAAGTAACAGTTGAAGCCCTAAGAGGAGGGTAGAATGAGAAGAGAAGAATAACAAAGATCTTCCTTCTGGAAGAACCAAAAATTAGCAAAAGAGATGATCAATGTTTTTATTATTATTATTAAGAGAAAACATACAAGATCATTTGAACCAGTAGGCAAATCTCAAATCCCCAGATCTCTTAAGCTTGATTTTGGAAACATCTCTTTATAGTTCCATTAAAATGTAGATTTGTGTGATGTTCTATAATTCCCTCCCTGCTGAATCAGGATCAGGTGCCTTCTTCCACAGCAGCTCTGGGTTCATGTAGAGCGCAGATTCAGTCTGGAGGGAGCCTGACCCCTAAAAGAGAGGAGAAATTGGGGTTTTTCCCCTGTCCACTCTCTAGCTCAGTGCCTATACTCCAAAGTTCTGGCAAAAAAAGTCTCTTAAACAAAACTGAGAGTATAGCTTATCTCTAAAGTGTACCCAAAAGAAATTCACAGGGTCCCTTCTAGAAAGATATTCACTGTACAAAGGAGTGGGGCAGCTAGGTGGCACACTGGATAGAGCGCCAAGCCTGGAGTCAGGAAGACTCATCTTCCTGAATTCAGTTCTGGCCTCGGACGCTCAATAGGTCTGTGACCCTGGGCAAGTCACTCAACCCTGTTTGCCTCAGTTTCCTCATCTGTAAAACGAGCTGGAGAAGGAAATGGCAAACAACTCCAGTGACTTTGCCAAAAAAAAAAAAAAACCCAAATGAGGTCCTGAAGAGTCAGGCACAATCAAAATGACTAACAATACAAAGGAAAAACTATCTCGTGTAAGATGACTATTTATTTCCTCCATCACAAAAATTCTTTAAAACTTACAAACACCTCCTGAGTGCACATTAACAAATGTTTAAGATATGAATCATTTTATTGGATTGCTTAATAGATGTTTTGTTTTTGCCGTCATCTGCATGATCTGAGCAGCTTGCTATGTATGTGCAGATCCTCTGGCCAGCTGGGTGTGGCTTCACCTTTGGTGCTCTGGCTGCATAATCTGCCTGGTGTTTTCTCCTCTGAGAAGTCATTCCTCCCTTGACTCACCCTTTCTTGGGCCTCAGCAGCCAACTGGAAGAACACCCAACCATTCAGACTCATGAGGTTACCGACAGCTGTTTCTCAAGATCACTATTAAAATGGCCAGGACTCAGAGGAAATACAAATCAGAAGAAAATGCCAAGGCCTTGAGAGCCACTCTCAGCCTTGCCTAAGCAAGCACCTGTTCATGCTGCTACATGCGCAAAGGCACTTCTTTTTTGGGGGGAGGGGAATAGGGGTAGAAGGGAGCAGAAGGGAGGAGTAAAGAGAACTCTTGGGTGCAGCTAGGTGGTGCAGTGGATAGAGCACTGACCCTGGATTCAGGAGGACCTGAGTTCAAATCTAGCCTCAAACCAAACACTTGACACTTACTAGCTGTGTGACCCTGGGCAAGTCATTTAACCCTAATTGCCTAAAAGAGAGAGAGAGAGAAAACTCTTTTCTCCTAGACCTCAGTGGAAATTCAAAGGAAAACTGGTATTGCCTTTGTTCTAACAGAGAGGCTACCCTGAAGGAAACCAGACCTCATTTTTCCTTACAGCCCACAAGTGGGTGGCACTTCTTGGCGCAGTTGCCAGTTGTCTTTGACGCAGCACCCCACCCACCCCTCTGACGAGGCAACCAACTAAAAATTACCGGTTGCCCGTGTTCTTTAGCAAGGAACAGAGCACATGTGGCTCACCAAATGATGGTCCATAGTATGTCTTGAAATCCAATAATTAGTCCCATTATGAACACCTAACTCAAGAGAAGCTCAAAAGGAGGCTATTTAATTTTTTCCATCATGTCTTCCTGCATTCCTCCAACACCATCCCCCCCCAAAAACCAATCTATTTCATGCAGGAAATAGGTCTCCCCTGCCAACAAACCCCTTGACTGACTCAAGGTTCCCTGTCTCAAACCCTTCTTAGAACAGGAGAAGGAAGTTAAGTGTTTGAGATTTAAATAGCTTCTTTGTGTATAAATAAAAGAAATTGAGATAACAACTGAGCAAGAATTAAGTAGAATAGATTCTGTCTTAAAATGTTCCATTGCTCTTCTTCACCAGGATTTCTTCACACACAAAATGAGCACCTGGTCTCCAATTTTGGTTTGAGATTTTAGAAGATCTTCTGCCTGATTTTTAGATAGTATAATCTTATGAAAAACTATGTATCCCACCTCCTCACCATTGGACTGACCATTCACCAGGCCTAACTTGTGCCCTCCTCACCCCTGCCTTATGGGATTCCTCTCCATTCAAGACTCAGGTCCACACTACCTATAGCATGCAGCATTTCCTGATTCCCACAAATGTCAGCATCCTACCCCTCAAACTGCCTCATCTTAAACGACTGTCTATTTATTCTGGCTGTACTTATTGTCCCTCTGTTAGAATGTGAGCTAACTGCAAATGGGGACCATTTCATTCCCTGTGCCTACATATCCCCAGTGCCTACCACAGTACCTCTCACACAGTAGGCACTCAATAAATATTTGGTTGATTTAAAGAAATATTAGATTAAGATGCATCTGTATTCTTGACCTAAAATTGTATACTTTGGAAATTTAGTAATAGTTTGTGAAATGTATAAGTAGTAATATGCCACTAATGATGTTGTTATTCAATTTTTTAATGAATTAACATTTTATTTTTATTTTAAGGAGGTAACAGAGTTCTATATTTACAACAAAAATTCACCGGACAAGTGGAAAAGGCCTGTAGTGATTGAAAAACTTCAGGTACTGAAAACAAATTTTTTTAGCATTTTATAAATATTGTAAAAACAATAGTGATGGTAGTCTTAATCAAATATAACTTTAAAAACATTTATATTTAGATAAGCTTCATCATTACATATGTGTATGTATATGTGTGTATGTGTAAGATATGTACACATAACACAGTATTTATTAATACTTGAAGAATCAATGATTTCCTCACTGTGAGTACTCTCCTCTGCTGCAGATTGCTAGCTTTTCTACACTTTAGTAGACCTGCTTGATGTATCCCTAGGTCTTCCTCAAAGTCTTCTGGCTTGGTTGCACCTAAAGAGTTTGTACTCTGCTGGCATAGCCCTTCAGGGCCCAGGTTCATGACCATGTCACACTGAGGCATCAGATTCAGTTGTTCATGGAAGGCGTACTTACACCTTAACATAAGATACTGATTTCAGACATTGATTGATTTCATTAATAAAAGAAAACCGGTGTAGAGAATCAGTGGGCTGGCTAGATGGGAGAAGGTACCAGAGGACAGAGGATCCAGCTGTAATAACAGAGCAGAACAGAGAAGACAAAATTTGTAACTGGACAATAGTGTCCTTCAAAGTTCCTCTGGGTTTTCTGTGTTTTGCTGTAATAAATGAGCAGTTTCTTAAACATCAAAAAGTTCATAAATCAACTGCAAATGTCTGCACACAGTGAAAACCGAGATAAAACACGTTATTATTGTTTTTAAGGGGATGGAATCTAGAAGGTCAAAAATTTTTTTTTAATCTTTTAAGAAAAAGAAGAACTGGGGCTGCTCGGTGGTGCAGTGGATAGAGCACCAGCCCTGGAGTCAGGAGGACCTGAGTTCAAATGCGGCCTCACACCAAACACTTGACACTTACTAACTGTGTGACCCTGGGCAAGTCACTTAACCCCAATTGCCTAAAAACAAAACCAAAAAAAAAAAAGAAGAAGAAGAACTCATGGAACTTGTAATTAAATATGGGATACCATACTTTGAAGCAAGGGCTTGTGAAACAGATGATCCAATGGTCACAGCTCTGCTAAGTAACTAAACAAAGAAAAAAGGAAGAGTTGATACATTACCTGAAAATTAAGTGAATTTTGATGAGGTCAAATGGACCTTTGTATTTTATATCCTCCACTGAAGTCTTACTCCACGTATATGTGTGAGGGGGTATGTGTTTATGTATAATGAGTTATATATGTGTGTATATGTGCATAGGGCAGCTAGGTGATGCATTGGGTAGAGCCCTGTGTCTGGATTCAGGAAGACCTGGGTTCACATCTGACCTCAGATGCTTTCCTAGCTATGTGACTGTGGGCAAGTCATTCAGCTCTGTTTGCCTCAGTTTCCTCATCTGTAAAATGAGCTAGAGAAGGAAATGGCAAACTACTCCAGTATTTTTGCAAAGAAAATCCCAAATGGGTTTACAAAGAGTTGGACACTACTGAAATGAATGAATGAATAGCATGTACACACATATATGTAGCATGTCTGTATATATGTTCACACATACTTATTGATAATATCTACAATTAGCTTTTTGAAAAGAAAACTAAAACATGAATTCTGTAATACACAGATCAAGGTATATAATACAAGGTAATACACAGATCAAGGTCCAATTTTTAGTATGTGATAAACAGTCTTAGCAGCTCCAGAAAGGAAACAAAACAATATAGTAATAACATCATCAACAACCTCTACTATACCAGCTGTACCTAAATTATGAATAGAGCAGAGCAAGTGGAAGTGTGGCCATTTGCAGGTCACTGCAAATTATTGTAATTTGTATTTTCAACAAAAATACTTGAAGAAGTGGCAGAGTATAATTCACAGTGCTTTGCATACTCAGGCATGGATGTGTGAGGTCTGTTTGTTTTTTAAACTATGATTCAATAGGATGTGCTAAAATGAGCAAATTAAGTTTTTAAAACCACATCCAGAGCAATTAGAGCACAGCAGAGGATGATGAGAGAAAATTCCTCTTGTATTTGAAAAAAAGCCTCCATTTGCAAAAAGTCAGAGCATTTGCCTTTGAATACTGCAGGATACAATTCATTAGTACCCAGAAGATTTTTAAAGTTGCACAAAAAAAAAATCTTTTCAGCGTGACATATTTCTCAGGGTATGGAGGTAAATTTAAGAATGAAAGGTTGGGGCAGCTAGGTGGCACAGTGGATAGAGCACTGGCTCTGGACTCAGGAGGACCTGAGTTCAAATTTGGCCTCAGATACTTGACACTTACCAGCCATGTGACCCTGGGCAAGTCATTTAATCCCGATTGCCTTGCGAAAAAGAAAAAAAAAGGCATGAGGGGTCAAGGCAAATTATAAAAATGTCTGTTCACCACTTTGACAGGAAATGGCCAAAGCCGAAGGGCTCTGGAACCTCTTTCTGCCAGCTCTCAGCGGCCTCAGCCAGGTGGATTATGCTTTGATTGCCGAAGAAACAGGAAAATGTTTTTTTGCTCCAGATATTTTCAACTGCCAAGCACCAGGTTATGAAATTATTTCATAAATGTAGCTTTGTTTGATCGTCTAAGGCAGGGGTGGGGAACCTGTGGCTTTAGGGCTGCATGTGGCTTTCTAGGTCCTGAAGTCTGGCCTTTTGCTCTAAGCAATGTTTCTAAATGCTTTCAATTCTTTAAGTGATGGAGATGTTATTTCAGACTCTTGGGAACATGAAGATTTTCCCTTTTTATGGTCATAAGTCAGCTCCCAAACCTGCCTGTAGTTGTAGTCATCATGCAGGTCTTTGGTAATGATAAAGACAGTCACTTCCTGTTTAATTATTCTGTAGCTAAAAATTGTCGTGCCCATTCAGACTGTGGGGGTTAAGGTGAGTAACCACCAAAAGTCTGTGAAGAACACTGAGTTGTGGTTGAAGGGTTGGGCAGGTATGTCTGTGGCAGTATGGGAAGTACAGAGTTCCTGTTACTACTGTAGTTCTCCTGTATAGCAATAATTCTCAAACTTTTTGGTCTTAGGACCCCTTATACTCTTAAAAATTTCTATGGACCCCCCCCAAAGAGCTTTCATATAGAGTTTTTCCATTAATACTTTGTAATATTAGAAATTAAAACATATCAGTATTATTATGAAAATAGGTTTGACTTTGGGGACTCTTAGAGGTCCCCAGACCACATTTTGTGGTTCATGCTTCTACATGAATGGAGGCCATTTGGCATGTGCTAATGAGGTGAAATTGCAAAGACCTCAGTGGAGAGCTCTTTTATCCTACTTTAGTCTACTATGCACGCATGATTTTGTGGAATCCTGGAGAAGGTGTTCCTCACGTAGATGTCAGGGGTCACTAGGGCCTTTATGCTTATAGTAGGTCATATGACCTGTGTTTGGCTAGCATGCCAGAGCTGTCTGTCTGGTGGCTCAGTGGATAGAGCACTGGGTTTGAAATCAGGAAGACTCATCTTCCTAAATTCAAATCCAGCCTGAGACACTTACTAGCTCGGTCACTTAATCCTGTTTGCCTCAGTTTCCTTACCTCTAAAATGAACTGGAGAAGAAAATGCCAGTATCTCTGCCAAGAAAACCCTAGATGGGTTCCAAAGGGGCAGATGTGACTGAAATAACTGAACAGCAACAGTGTTCTGAAATGAGTCCAGGAGGTGTCCTAGATTGCACTAAAGTCAGTCAGCAACTTTTAAAAGCAGCTGAAGACTTCCTGAGTAGATTAACAATGCCAAATATCATAAGGAGGAAGTGAGATGTTTTCTTTATCTAAAAGTTCCTTTGGCCTCCAACTTTGGCACAGTGTGTTCTAGACTAAAGTGCTTGAAGCATTTCCAAGTGAGATATAGAAGTGAATGTACTGTGTATCGAGTGTTTGGGAATATTTAAACAATTTTCTAAAATGTTAATTAACTCCAACTCAGAATGCCTAAATAATTCTTTAGAGTTTCAAAAGTAGTACTAGACATCGCATGAAGTCTTTGATAAATTATTCTTCACTTTTACATTCATGCAGTAAGCATTAAGGGCCTGCTATGTGTTTCCTGGTTGTTGATAGGTATTAACAGAGAGAGAGGGGTGTGTGTGTGTGTGTGTGTGTGTGTGTTTGTTTTGGGGGTGTTCCCGGGTAGAATGGGGAGTGGTGTACTCAGAGGGCAGGGTTGGCGTGCCAACTGTAGAAAAACAGCATAAACAAAAATCCCAAGAGAGGAATGGACAGGGCATGTTTGAACAGTGGCATTTGTGGGACAGAGGGTTTGTGGGTGCCTTGCTGTATTCTGAGGTCTTTTTTCAGTAGTAATGCTAGGGCTGTATTCTCCTCCCTGGTCCTCCTTCTGACCAAAAGAGTGTATTTGCAGTACAATAATTCAGGTTTGAAGATCTTTGCCCATGGAACTTTTTTTCCTCAGTGAAAATCTAATCACCTATGCTGGAGTTAGAGCTTCATAAATTTCATGCTCTAAACTGGCCAAGACTGGCTTAAATTAACTTAAATAAAAACACAATGAATTTTTATAGATATATATTTGTGTATATGTATGTGTGTGTATGTATATGTGTATATATATATATATATATATATATACACACACACACGTATATATGTATATATGTATATACAACTAGGATTTCAGTAGGCTTAATCATCCTGTAAACTTAAACTATTGTTACCTTATGGTCTAAGATCGTTATTTTTGAACTAATGTGTTTTTAAATAATTATATAAAGTTACTAGCTTCAAACTTGGTAAAATTCTGGTATAAAAATATACTTCTTATCAATTCATAGACACGGGAAATATGGAAGTACTTCACTTATATGGAAGTGAAGAACAGAAGAAACAGTGGCTTGAACCTCTTCTTCAAGGAAGAATTAAATCTTGCTTCTGCATGACAGGTAACCTGTCCATCCCTAGCATCTTTGTTGACCTCCAGTCTCATATCTCGAACTGCCTGCTGGACATCTTGACCTGGATATTCTGCAGAAATTTGAAATTCACTGGGTCCAAAACTCAGCTCATTGTCAGCCTCAGAACCTTCCCCTCTTCCCAACTTCCTATTACTACTGTTGAGGGCACCATCTTCCCAGGCATCCAGGCTCACAGCCTAGGTGTCACCCTCAATTCCTCACTCTCGCCTCCCCCCATACGCAATCTGTTGCTCAAGTCCATCAATTTTACCTTCTTAATACCTCTCACACATGCCCCGTTCTGTCCTCTGACTCTGCCAGCCAGGCCCTTATTACCCCATGCATGGACTGCTACAGGGGCCTCCTGGTTCAGCATCTCCCTGCCTCAATTCTTTCCCACTTCAAACCATCCTCCACTCAGCTGTCATAGTGATCATCCTAAATAATGCAAGTCTGGTGACGTCACCCACATACTCAGTAAACCCTAATGGTTCCATATAATCTCCAAGATCCAATATAAAACCCTCTGCTTGGCATTCAAAGCCCTTCCTGGCCTCTTCCTACCTTTGCAGTGTGCCCTGAGATCCAGTGATTCTGGTGTCCTTGATATTGCATGCACAAGATGCTCCATTCCCCACCTGAGGCGCTTTCTGTGATCGTCCCAGTTACCGGAATGCTCCCCCTCCTCATCTCAGCCTCTTGGCTCCCTCCAGCTCCCAGCTTAGACGTCCCCTTCTACAGGACTCCTTTCCTGATCGCCCTTGATTCTAGTGCCTTCTCTCTGGATTATTGCCAATTGATTTTGGCCATAGAGTGCTTGTACATGTGCTTGTTTGCCTTTTGTCTCCCCCATTACACTGCGTGTTCCTTAGTGGCAGAGACTGGCTTTTGCCTTTTTTGATGTGTCTTTAGGACTTAGCACATAGTGCCTTGCATAGACTAGGCCCTTCCTGAATGTTTGCTATCTGACTGACCTTTCTGGGGCTCATGAATTCTACGCTCTAGAACAGGTTTGAGGAAATTGTTTTTGGTGACTAGAAAGATAACATATGGCATAGATGGCAAATGTCTGGATCCAAGGTGTCCTGACCCACTTTGCCTATCCACTAGTAGGTAATTCATAGGTATTCTTGTTCTTTTAAAGACTCTTCTTCAGTGAATTGATTCTTTGGTAAAAATCATTCTTCCTAGTTGACTCCTAGCCAGCCACACAAGGGTAACTGTAGTAAGAAAGCCAGAGGACGACATTTGCTGTCTTGTGACTGTCTTTCTTTTTCTTATTTGTATCCCTAGTGCACATAGTAGATATTTGTTTATTTAAATTATTTATTGAGTTAAATATGATTTCCATTACTCACATTCTTCCTTATGGACATTACATGTGGTTTTCTCTTGGGTAGATTAATCATCTTGTTGTTAAGTTCATAATACAGTTCTCAAAATGTTTAGCTTTTTCATGAGCCAGTAAAAATGGAACTTTGATCAGTGCTAAACATCTGGCCCACATTATAATGGTATGTTTAAAAAATGCCTAATGAAATATTTTATCTAAGAATATTTGACCTCATTTGTGCATAGGAAGAAGTAATTTTTTAAAGGCTTTTGAAAAAGCACTTTATAATTTCATGTTAGAATTTAAAATTAAAACTCAAATCTGTTTTGGCTATATGTTTTCACAGTTGTCCAGTTTTAGATATAAAAATAATTTTTTTATAATTTTTTCTATAAGGTTCAGATTTTTATCTCATATATAAATTACATAAGCCTTTTCCTTAGAAAAACCAGTTTTCCTCTTAATTTAGTAACATTTATACCTACTCTATGAGTATTTCTTTATAGTGTTTGGCATTGTGGGAAACATAAGGACCTGTCAGTCAGGTCAGGTAGATACATATAAAGTAATTGAATAACCCATTTGTAGAATTATGTTAACAACTATAAATGAATATAATACAAGCTGGTTGTATATAATACAAGTACTGAGGTGATTCTGAGGGCAGACAGTCTGCAGCTGAGTGTCAGTCAAGGAAGACTTCCTTAAAGACATTGAGTTTGGGCAAGTTTTGCAGGACAGGAGTATGAAAGGATGAGGTATGACAGATGAAGGGAATGAAATGTGCGGGTGTCAGAAGAGAATTAGTCACTAAATTAGCCGGAGGAAATAAATTATAGACTCTAGGGCACTCTGGATCCATATTTCTTACATCTCTGAAGTGAAAGAAGATAGCAACGTTTTTTGTCTTATTTTGACAAGTTAAGAAGCTTCTTGCCAAGTCTCTTAATTAGTGAAGACACTTGAAATAAAACTCAGCTGCAGGGAGCTACAGAGCACTGAAATATTAAACTTTCCCTTTTTCTCCCACCTGTGATAGTTTTCTTTCTTTATTTAAATTTAGCTTTTGGTTCTTTATAGAGCCTGATGTTGCATCTAGTGACGCTACTAATATTGAATGTACTATTGAACGAGATGGTGATAACTATGTCATCAATGGCAAGAAATGGTGGAGCAGCGGTAAGTACATCCTGTCATGGCTGTGACAGAACTGTCGGACATCAGAGTTAAATGACGTTCAGCAGTTCTGGTTTTGTTGCTTTCTCAGTTTGGGGAGTGGGGAGAAGTAAGAGGGAAATAAGGCAGATCTTTGGTGGAAAAAAAATGAAATCTAATTTGAAAAACTTAAGAAACAGAAGAATTTCAGTTACTTTAACTCTACTTTTGGAGTATTTTCATAATTTTCAAAATGTCACTTGGGGACAATTCTTAAGGGTTTATTTTTCTCTTCTGATTTTTAAGTATGAATGGAGATTTGACAAGAAATATTTTAGTTGTATGACATTCATTTTCCCAGTAGAAAAACCCACGTGTTCATCAAGTCACATCATTAATGCTTGTAATCAGAGAACCAATGTATACTCAATATAGTTTAATTTCATTCGGAATGTAGAATGGTTAACATATCTTTGTGGTTTTGGAATATGTGTATTATGTGAAAGTTGTTGTTCACGTGATTCATATGAATCAGTGGGTATATTTTTTCAAAATGAGGTGCAGTGTGTAGATTGACTTGGTTAAGTGATTTGTTTTTGTACATATTTTTATTCCTGTAAAAAGCTAGTCTTTGTATGAGATAAGAAACATTAGACAGTGATAAGAAATTATGCAGTCAGCAGTCAGTAGTGAGTGGTCTTGGCTAAAGTGATGAGCCATTTACGAAGTGATTAAGAACTAGGATTTAATTAATTATAAGCTGAGGACTTTCTCCTGTTTGTAATGATAAATTTAACATTTACTAAGGAGAACTAAAGGTCATCAAAAGGCTGTATCAGGGGAAAACATATGTTCTGAAATCTGACAAAAAGTTTTTAAAACCTGAAAAACATATTTACACTCTTTTTGGTTAAGCATTATCTTTACTGAGATTACAAAAAAACCCAAAACAAAACGCAGGAGACATTCTGGTTCCAGAGCCATTTGAGATTATTGTCATAAGCGTATTTTTTACCTAATTTTGAAAAAGATACAGTATGTTAAATTCCAGAAAGTTAAAAGCATTTTCTAAATGTATCCTGAGATTAGTCACATTATGTCCTGAGGCCCTTTTATGTTGCCAATCCATTTTATTTTATTTTTTATGATATGAAATCTTTTATACCATTTTGTATTTTTAAAAAATAAAAGTATTGATACATTTTTATGCCAAATTTTATTTTGTTATCATTTTTCCACTTAATAGTATTTTATTTTTTCCAATTGCATGTAAAGATAATTTTCAGCATGCACTTTTGTAAGATTTTTGAGTTCCAAATTTTATCTCCCTTCCTCCCTTCCCCCTCCTCAAGACAGCAAGTAATCTGATATAGGTTATATATGTACAATCATGTTAAACATATTTCCACATTAGTCGTGTTTTGAAAGAAGAATCAGAACAAAAGGGGGAAAACCACAAGAAAAAACAAACAAACAAAAAAAGTGAAAACAATATGCTTCAATCTGCATTCAGACTCCATCATGATTCTTTCTCAGGATGTGGATAACGTTTTCCATGTTGATACGTTTTTTGAGACTCTGTGGTACAGTGGAAAGCACATAGAATATGGAGTTACAGCATTGACATTCAAATACTGGCTCTTTCTATGCCCTCCTGTATAACCTTGGTCAAGTCTCTAACCCTCTCTGGGCTTCAGCTTCCTCATCTTTAAAATGAGGGGTCCTCAAGATCTCCAAGAAGATCTCCAAGCTCCCTTTCAGCTCCTTATCTTTTTTCCTGTGATACTACTAAAACCTCTCAACAATCCTCCAAAACAGTTAGTTTATTGTTGACAGAAAGGAACTTGATGGTATGCTATTGACATTGATCACTGTGCTTGGCCAGAATGTTGTTTTCCCTCCTTGTTGATTTTGTTTCATTGGTGTGGTCATCGTATATTGTCATTTTGGGCTGGCTTTCTTCACTCCATACTACTTCATAAAATCTTCAGTCTTTCTCCGAATTCTTCATTTTCATCATTCCTCCATAAATAGTAATATTCTATTATATTCTGATATTTTATTCCATTGATTTGTTCCACCATTTTCCAATCCATTAGGCACATATTTTGTTTCTGGCTTTTTGTTATCAAAAATACTGTTGCCGTATGTGTTTTTGTAAGTGTGACAGGTCTTTTCTTGTGATTAATAACCTCATTGGGATATAGCCCCAGTATTGGAATGGCTGCTATGTCAGAGGGAATGAAAAATGCATTAACTTTTCTTGTATAACTCAAAATTGTTTTCCAAATTGGTTAAACCAATTCACAGTTCCAGTGACAGTCAATTATCATGCCTCCCTTCCCATAGCCTCTCTTATAATCATTGTTTAGCCTCGTTGCTAGCTTGGTGACTATAAGGTAATGAATGCCTCACAGATATTTTAATTTACATTTCTCTGCTTCTTAATGATTTTGAACTTTTTTTGATATAATCATGAAGTTTGTAATTCCTTTGAAAACTTATTCTTTGACCACTTGTCTTTTGGAAGAATAGCTTTTAATCTTACATATTTGTATCAGTACTCTATAAATTTTGATGTTAGGCTATTTTTAGTTATAGTTAATGCAAATATTTTTACTAATCCATATCTTCTCATTCTATTTATATTGATTTTATTTGTGAAAAAAAGAAAAAAAAGTCCTTTAATTTTATGTAATTGAAATAGACTTTTTTGTCTTTTGTGTTCTCTTCTTTTCCTTGTGTTACAGATTTCCTCTCTCTTTGTAATTGAGAAAATTATAACTTAACTGTTTGCATCTGTTTTTTAGTGGTGTGACTTTATATTTAGATTATTTTTCCACTTGGGATTTATTGTGATTCAAGGTGTAAGATATTGATTTAGTCTTTCCAGTTTTCCCAACAGTTATTAAAGACACCCTTCCTAAATAGTTTTTGGGGAGAGGTTTATTGAACACTAGATTTCTTTGCATATTTTATTTCTAAATCTTATTTCTTTAGTCTATTTTTTAAATGGCTCTTTGTTGATATCTTTTGTTTTTCTATCACTTACATTTCCTAATATTATCCTTTCCTCTTTTTTGGAATAAAAATAAAATAAGGGAAAAGAAAAAAAAAGACTCAACAAAACTAAAACACTGAAAAAGACTGATATTATCTACATTGTCCTATACCCATAGTTCCCTACCTTTGCAAAAAGGGGAGGGATGCTCCTTCTCACAGGTCTTTCTTTGGGCCAGTCTTGGTCCTCATAATTTCATAGCATTGTTTAATTACTTTGTTGTTATTTCATTTTCACTGTTGTAGTCATTGTGTATATTGTTCTCCTGGTTCTGCTTACTTCATTTTACTTTAATTTATGTAGGTCTATCCATGATTTGCAATCTTCATAATTTTCATTCCTTATAGCATAAGAACCGTATTCATTACCACAACTGCTTTAGCCATTCCCCAGTCAGTGGGCATCTCATTTGTTTCCAGTTTTTGTTATTCCAAAAAGTACTGCCACCAGTACTGTGAACATGGGACCTTTGTCAGTGACTAGTACCAGATAATTTGGATCATTACATTTGCCCTTCCCCATTCCCCACCTTATAAAGTAGTTTGATGTCTGGAAGTGCTATTCCCTCTTCATTCCCACCTTCTTCATCATTTTCTGTTGATCATCTAGATTTTTTGTTCCTCCAAATGAATCTTATTATTTTGTCTAGCTCCATAAAGCAATCCCCTTGGTAGTTTGATAGATATAGCACTAAATCTGTAAATTAACATAGGCTTTTAAAAAAATTACTTTTGTTGCACTGACAGTTAAGTCATGGACACAAAATATCCCTCCAGTTATTTTAACTTCATTAAGCTCCTTTTAATTTCTTTAAAAAGCACTGGAGTTGTATCTGTAAAGTGCATTGGTTTGGTACGTGGACTCCTAGTTAGTTTAGGTATTTTGTAGTTGCTTTATATTGTTACATAGTAACATTGTAGGTATTTTATGTTATTATGTTGCTTTGGTACACGGACTCCTAAATATTGTATGCATTTTGTAGTCATTCTGAATAAGATCCATTAACCTATTTTTCTATATTTTATCCAGTACCAAATAGTTTTTGTTAATTAATACTGTTTAGTATTGCTGCTGCTGTTTGTCCTTTGTTCTCAAAGAAGACCATGACACTGGGAAGGGGATGCCATGACTTGTGAGTGAAGTGGATTTAAGTGAGGGAGCGCTATGCAAAGTCACCAGTCTCACTTTCTGCTCTGGATCCATCTGGGTCCAGTGGCCAGATGTGGATCAGGACAACTGGAGATGACCCTGGGTGCAGGGAGGACCTTAGCCTTTTCAAGCTGAGGTATTTAACAGGTCTCAGTTTGACTGAGGCAGCGCCCATTCAGTGATTAAGGCTTAATAAAAAGAGGCAAAGAATGGTCTCTTAAAAAAGTAGATCTGGGAGGGGAAGACCCTCAGGGTTTCTGGCCAAAATAGAAATAATTATTTACATTCGTTTTGAGAATAAGTAACATCAGGTTCCTCAGTCCTGTTTTTTCATTATGTCCTTTGATAGTCTTAACCTTTTATTATTCCAAATGAATTTTTTTTTATCATTTTATGTCATTCTATAGAGTATCCTTATGGTAATTTGATTGGTATGTCACAAAATCTATAATTTGGAATATATATGTATATATGTGTGTGTATCCACGTGGATATGGATTGATGTATGTGTATACATATATATATATGTACATATACATATATATATATGTATATATGTATATATGTGTATCTACAGCCAAGCTATGGTCGTTGACTATCTCTGCTAACGTTTCGTTCATTTTTGTATGACTGTTTTAGAGTTGTGTTTGTGGGTCTACTGAATGTGTCTTAGGAATTCTCAGGTATTTTAATTCATATTGTTATATTTAATCCAAATTCATTTTATGTCATGCTCTACAATATCCTTTAGATAATTTGGTTGTTGTAGCACTAAATCTATAATTGGGAATATGTGTGTGTGTATATTCAGACT